TATTTTCTGCAACAAACAGTTGGCAGAATAGAAAGTGCACTTGTCTCATTTATTGGAAAGATATATAGTTATTGCTTTTTTTGAGCCAGTGCAGTCATCAGCTTAAGGTGCTATTGGTGTCTGTGTGTTCTTCCTTTCTGTATTTAATAATAAGAGCTGCTCAAACGTTTTATTGATGTTAGTTTTTTGTTTTTTTTTTTTTTTTAATTTATTTCGCTTTGATCAACTTGAGAACAGGTGCTCATAAAATTACATCAAATATAGCTCCTTCCTCATTTACTATTTTTTTCTTTTCTCTCTCTCTTTTTTTTTTCTTCCTTCTTTTTCCTTTTCTTTTTCTCAAATGCTTCTATTTTATTTTTTCTTTTATTTTTCCTTTTTTTTTCTTTTTCCCCATTAGAAATTCCTGGTAGTATTTAGCTATCTTTTACATTTTATACTTAGTTAATACATACACACATAAAAAATAATCTAAATTATAGATAACACTGTTAACAGAAATAATAAATAATCAAGACATTCTCTACAAGTGTATTTGATACTCTTATGTATAAAGTGCTCATTGGTATGGTTTAGTTTCAGATAAAGTATAAAATGTTTTGTGAATGAACATGACACTAAATATACAATCTAAAGGTGAGAAACAGTTTTTGGTCACTTCACTAAAATAAAATATTATCATGTTCTAATTTCTGCACTCAGGTAGAAAGATTAGTTTAAACAAGGCATCAAAAGCTATGTTAACTTTAGATCATGTTATCTACTTGTCCTGTGACAAGTCCCAGCAAAATTAAAGATCAAAGGGCTTATATATGAATAAAAGTAAAGGTAAACTCATATCATTTAAGATGAATATGGTTCTTGCTCTTGCCTGAAGTTAGTAGAAAAACTCAATCTTCTTCAGCAAAGTAGGACTTCATCCAAAGAAATATGCAGTGTTGATAATATCAGTGGACTTTTGTTGGGAACAAAAGTCATAATATAGGACTCAGACATAATACATGTTTGATAAACTTACATTTTATCAACCCAAGTGAGGCTTTTTTAATGAATTTGCATAGACTGTGCTTTCAAAGTATCAGGGGTTGATAATTAGGCTGGGTGCCTCCTGAAAAGCTGTGCTCACCTCGGTTGGAGTTAAGCTGGCAGATGTTGAATATGCTGAAATTAATCCTGGGAGGTGTGGGATCCCTGGGACATGGAGCCTTTACCAGTCTCTATGGCCTTGGTAGAAATAGACCACTATCAAGAGCTTCAGAGAGAGGATTGGTTTCTGTGAAGTTTCAATTTAGTTTCGGAAACTCAGCCTGCATTACTTTGCAGATGAAGTCCCTTTGACTTAAGTGGATCTTTCCAAATACACTCAGATTGTAGCACTCAGCCCTTCAGAAAGTATGTGTACTCTCAAGCTGTTCAGACCCTAAGAGCTGAGTTGTCTGAAGTATTTTGTTCCTTAGAAAATCCCATTCCAAATTTCTAAAACATCTTGCCTACCAGGAACTTCTGCGCTCGTTGTGTATTTGCATTATACACATTGCACAGGCACATGAGAGGCAGAAATTAGAAGTTTTCTGTACTGGTAAAAGTGTGAAGTAATTTGCATTTTTATAGTACTAACTGGGCAGCATTACAATTGTCAGATATTCAGTCTACTGGATGTGGCTTCTGTAGCAAATAATGCTATTAGGCAGATGGAGTGAGGTCTGTAAGGAACAATTGAGGAGGAGAGTAAAAATAGGGATAAGAGTCTAAGTGGAAAGAAGATGCACAGATACACAGATATGGACAGACAATCATTTTAACTTCGGTATTGCGTTTGGGGAAAGGAAGAATTAAGTACTTTGCTCCAATTGAAGTAGATTGATGTACTTCAGTAGACTGAAGTGAATTGAAAGTTCATTAGAGGTTAACTAGATATTAGTTTATATCAATTTATAATGCTGCAGTAACTCATGGCAGATTTGGGGTGGATGCTTCACCCTCCCATTTTTTGTGCCTAAGCTTCCTGGATCAATTACCTATCCCATGCAAAACAGTGGGTTTCCCTCTATAATTTAGTTCTTTTTCCTGAATTTTGAGAATGATGTTGCAACACTGTGTTATGAGATCCAAAACAATGTTAGGATGAGTCATTGGACCTCCCGTTCATGGGAAGAACCTTAGCAAACAATGAATAAGAACTCAGTGATTATCTAAATGTGTAGCTGGCAACCAGAATTGACAAATTTCAGTTCGGTGGTGATAGCCCCAGTCACGAAATGTGTACCTGATGTTTAGATCCAAGGTTTATTTGCTTAACCTGATATCCAGAAAGAACTTTGTCCAAACTGCTAATAATAAAAATGGCAATAAATTATATCAACGTAGTATATAGAAAAAAAATGATGCAAATACTACTTGGAATAGAAAGAAATTTCAGATCTAAAAAAATCTAGGTAGTAAAGAAACAGTCACAAGCTGTATAACATAGTATCCATGTTGTAGTAATGTGATAAAGTACATTTATTTTTATCTGTGTGTCTGAGTTGTTTTGAGCTTATACGTGATGCTATTTAATTTATGCCATTCAATTTATACTTTGGGAAAAGACTAAGTGAGCACAGAAACTTCTGTGTTAATGATCTTCTTTGAGTGATAGCAAGTAAAGCTGGAGAGCCAATGAAAGTATGGTGAAGCTCCTATCTGTCCTGACATTGTACTGACAGTTCATTGGGCACACTGACATTGGATTAAATGTTCAGCTGAACAGATCCATGTTTAAAAGTCCAGGGGAATAGCATTAAGTCAGTGCTGAGCATCAGTAGTGCTAGAAGACCAAATCCCCAAGTTCTGAGTCAGTTCACTCTTGGGCAACTCCCCTTAATTTGGCACTCATGGGTTAAATTCTTATTTTTAACAGCTTTCATCTCTGACCCCAGAGGGGGGAAAAAACAACCAAAACCAAGAAGAAACAAACAGATTGCCATTGCAAAGTTCTTTGGAGCATGCTATGGAAATAAACTAATAAATTAAAAAAAAATGACAGCATTGCTTAAGGGTTACGGTAGAGGTGCCTTAGGAAAGAAGGAAAGCTGTGCAATATTAGATTTCTTCTGGCAAAAATCTAAGAACTAACCCAAAGAACTGTGCCTTTGGGTGTAATTAGTTTGCTGCCACAGAGAAGATTATTGATTACCACGGTCAATGCTGATTTATGTAGAAAGTTTATTAACATTTTCAACTGTGATTAAAGATGTGTTAAATGAAAACGCATGTAGGACTTTATTGAAGAAATAGAATCATCCCGGTCATAAAGGAGGACAAACAAAATTGCTTGCTTAAACAGTCTTTCAAAGGGGAGTTGACACACAAACCTGCCCATCGGGATACTCAAAGGACCGTACTGATGACAATTGGTAATGCATTTCCAGCAACTTAGTAGAGAGATCTGAGAAAGGTCCTAATTGCCCTTTCAGAAATATACAGTGAGCCAAATAAACACTTACATGGTGGTTAAAGAGAGTAATACAAAGCTAACACAATAGCAGCAAGAACAGCTATTCTCTGGGGGGCTGGCAGTCGCTCCTGTGCAGATCCCCACTTTCCTAAGTGGTTCGTGACCTACAGCAGCACCCTGCCTTCCTAAATAACAGCAGCAGCTGCTCGACAGAAATCCCAGATCCTCTATTTGTGGCAGCAGAGATGTCTCTAGGATGGTGTTTATCAATGATGTCTTTCTTTTGTAATGTGACAGTGCTAATTCAAGTATAATAAAGCCCAGAAGGGTCTCTCTTTTCTCAAAATGATGCCCTAAATTATAAATTCTCAGCAGAAATAACCGATATCTAAGAAATTGTCTCTTAATTAGATAATATTCATATTACGCTTAACGTAATTATTTCCTTACAAAGTGAAGATCCTAAGGTATGTGAACTAGGCATAATAATTATTTATGCCAGCAGCGAGTATCCTTGTTTCTTTCACCAATTTTCTTTCTGGATCCCAAGGAACAGGATTATTCACTCACTCTGAGCATATAAAAACACTTGGGAGCTTTTTAGGAACTGTGATCTCAGCTTTGTATTGGCTGAACACAAAAGTTGTTGGGGGTCAGGACAGCAGGAGCAGGCACCCTGGCAATATAAGTTTATGTCTGCACAGCACTTTGCAGACAACTCCAGCTCAGTCACCCTACCCATACATCCCCTTGGGAGCACTCACCCCTTTCTGCCTGGTGCAAAGTATAACTGGTGCTGCAGCCCAGCGTCTGGGAAATAGGGACAGCCCCAGGCAGAGCTTCTTCCTTCTGCAAAATACAGTACAGATCAACTCTAAGTGAATTCTGATTCAACTCTAAGTGAATTCTGATTGAACCTCAACAAGAAGTAAGGTTTTGTTGTAAATGGTATAGCATATGCATTTATAGTGAAAGAGCAAAGAAGCTAAATCTTGAAGCAAGACTAGAGGCAAGAAGTAGATACGATGACAGGGCAGCACAGTGGATTACTGTGATAACTGTGGTTGTTATAGTTTGTTATTATAGATAACAATAGAAACATGTAGCATGCTATTTCCTTAAAACTCTTCTTTATAAGGCAAGAGGGAGCTGATTATTATGTGTGAACAGTGACACGTTCTTGTGTCGACCAGCAGCAGAAGGGATTAAATCTGTGATTGATGAATCTTCATCAGTGTGCCTCTACTGCTCTTCTGAGATAAAGATAAGGCCTACCTGTGTTAATCTAATCTACTTCATGATGTAGACGTCAAAGCTGTAGCAGCCTGGTTTACTTCTGTGCAATATCCAGCTAAAGCTGGAGTGCAACAGAAATGCACTCCAGAATGAATGGAAAACAGAACGCGACATTGCGTGGGTATTGGCGTAATATGCAGAAATTAAAAATAAAAGTGTATGGTCTAGTTTTTCCAAAAGGCCATGAGAGTCATCCTATAAATTACCTGAATAACAGTTCTGAAACTAGTGATATTTTCTTTCAAAAGTGACTTTTCTTTCTTTTTAGGTTTTCTTTTCTGGTAAGTCCTAAACTCTGATACCCATGGATGCTGCAGAGTTCCGCAAGAGAGGGAAGGAGATGGTGGACTATGTTGCAGATTACCTGGAGAAGATAGATAAAAGACAGGTCTTCCCAGATGTGGAACCAGGATATCTGAGGCCCCTCATTCCGGACTGTGCACCCCAGGACCCTGAAAGCTTTGAGGATGTCTTTAAAGACATTGAGAAGATCATTATGCCAGGGGTAAGGAAAATGTGTCTGTAATGCAATATTCAATACTGCATCTAGGTATTCAAAGACTTTAAGGAACGTGTGGATGAAGGCTGTGCAGACAGACTTTCCAAACGGAAGCACCCACATTGATTAGCTTTTAAAAGGGAGGAGTCTGCTGTATGCCCATGGTTAAATGTGTTCCAACACTTTACATGACTAATGTTTTCTGTTCTTGCTAGAAATAATCCAATCATTCTTTTGCTTGATGTGAGGCTTGCTTTTGGAAATAATCCCCTTTCCTCTCTTTAATCAGTTAAGGCAGAGCTTTCTAACTTTCAATTTCATGTTATATATTTGCTACTTGCAAAGCATATCAAACATTTTATAAAATGGGATTTTTATTTGTCTGCTGTTCATAAAGTGTTCTTTCAAGCTGATCTTTAAATGTTATAATTGTCTCATGAGACTTCTTTTTATTAGAGTTGACTAGAAAGGATTCTCCCCAGTACTTTTTATGTTGACTTACTCTCCTAAATGTTGACTTCTTCTAGTACACTTTAAGGCAGATGGTCACTACCTAAATATTAGTCTTCGGATAGATCAGTGATGAATAGACAATGCGAAACAAAGCATCTGGCATTTGTTCAATTCTGAATTTTTCTTCTTGTTTTTCCACTCACGGTATACCTTTTTTATTTTAAATATATGCTTGTCTCCTAAGGACTCTAGGTAGCTTTAAGATAGCTGGATGATTAATAGATGCTAATAAAGAATCCCTCCTTTGGATCCCTGCAATAACCATTTTGGATTGCTTCTCTGGATGTAGATAGCTGATACGATTGCTATGTGACTAAACATGGAATCATTGCTCTGCAAATGTGTTTAGTCAGTGTACTGTAATACCAATTCCTTTTCATTGACCAATGTAAATATTTGATATTTGATATGTTTTTATCTTGTTTCTCTTGGAGCCAACCCTGCTGTCCTTTCACAGGCAAAAGCTCCACTAAAGTCAATGGAAATCGCTCCACTCTTCTCAAAGATTTGTGGAGGAAATCTTAAATCCAACAGAATTAAATCAGTGCAGATTCGATAAGAGAATTATGGCCAACATATGTAAATACATTTTAAAGACAGTTTATACCAAATGTTCATGCTAAATGATAATAAAGTAGTTAGATCCTGAAATATGTTTAGTTTTGAAAACCTTTTTTATTTTTCACTAGAGGAAAATACTAACCATTCTTTTTTTGTGAAGTAGAACAGAAAATACTTTGCTTTGAACCTATCACAATAACTTGAGAACATTCAATAAAATAATACCAAATTAAAAAATAAGAGATGAATCATTTGAGAATAGAAATTGAGGCATTGAATTCCAATTATGTCATCAACGTGTCATGTTCCCTCTTACCTAAATTGTTTTTGCAAACAAATAGCAAATAAATTGACTTAGTAAAAGTGATACATTCTGAAGAAAAAAAAGTTCTATCCAAAACTTTACGCTGGTATGAAATGTTAGTATTTCTCACACCATGAGCATGAGTACATAAATCACAGTTTGGTAACTCTGATTCTGCCTGAGTTTTTTATTTTAAGTGCTGACGTCTCACATGAGCACAGAATCACAGAGTCATAGGATAGCTGAGGATGGGAGATCATTTAGTCTACACCCTTGCCCAACACAAGGTCAGTTAGACAGAACCATGACCAACGGAGTGTTGAATATCTCCAGGGACGAAGCCTTCTCAACCACTCCATTGTCCTGTTCCAAAGTTTGAGCACCCTCACAGTAAAAAAACAAACAAACAAACAAAAAAAACCACGTTTAAATGGAATTTCCTGTGTTTCAATTTGTACACATTTCCTTTTGTCTTGTCACTGGATACCACTGAGAAAAATGTGACTTCATCTTTTTTACCCTCCCATGATGCATTTATACACCTTGACACAATCCCTACCGAGTTTTCTCCAAGCTGAATAATCACAGCTCTCTCAGCTCCTTGTCATAAGAGTGATGCTACAGTCCATGAATCATCTTCACGTCCCTTCACTGGTCTCAATTCAGTATGTTCATGTCTTTCTTGTACTGGAGATCCCAGAACCAGACAAAAAATGATGTGTGAAAATGATGGAACTGTAAAAACACATGGAGGCAGGGAGTATAAGAAGAACGTAGGATAGGAAGAATTGTTAACATTTGTTTTAGGCACCTTTAAAACTATTTGTAATTGATTTCAGGGACTTCTGAAATTGGCTATAGGGACAGTCTACCCCCATTATATTTTCCCTTCATCTTCTTCCCATACTTCTCTTGACAACATTAGCAACTGTAAGTACACCTAGTGTTTTTAGCTGTAGTGCTTTTCTAATGTTTTACTCAGGAATGTCATATTTCCAGTTTATAAATGAGGAATGGGGCATCTTCAAAGAGAATAAGTAATATGACAGAGGTTGTAAAACCTCACATTGCTCATAAGATATCAGTCCCACAAGTGATTCTTGTTTCATGTTGACACCTCTGCTGTGTTCAGATATTTGCTACTGTTTGATGGCTGAAAAAGTGACCATGGTATTCCTTCAGATGACCAAGGATCAATCAGTTGTGAAAAGAAATAATGATGTGTCCATTGCTGTCTTTACCCAATAAGAGAATAAGTATTCTTGAGAGGTATAATTCTTTATTAAGACTTCTTGTGAAATTGGATGTAGACCCTGAAAGAGCAGTCCACTAAATGCTAATGGCCATAACGGTGCTAAGTTTCTTATACCAACACATGGACTGAGGGAACAACTGCTGGCCTCTGATCTCCACAGCAGGAAGCCAAGGTGGAAGGGATCTGGATGCAAAGATATCAGTGAGAGCACATTTCTCTCTGAGACTTGCTTTGTTCTCTGGAAATATATCTCCTCCTTTTTTAGAGCCAAAAATGGTCAAGTTTAGTTTTGACTGCAAGTGGTACCAAAGACTAATTTTCCCCCCTCTAGAGCCATTACTCTATGAACTTTCAGCTGAAGCATCTACCCCTTCTATGTGGTAAGGGAACTATCTTGCTCAGACTAAGCAAGCCACAGAGAAAAAGACATCCTTAGATGAGATCTAGGAAATAAAATGTGTCTGACAAGCATCATAGTGGTAATTCTGAGCCCACTTATGTATCAGTGTTTATCAGCAGAGGGATGAACAAACAAGCATCAATTATGTCACACTATTTGCAATATTTTATTGTGTCTCTTCCAACATGGCCAAAGAAATGAATTTTACAGCTGATTCACGTGAAGGGAGGAGGGGAGGCAGAAGGAGAGGAAGAACCACAGCTGCACTTGCTGTAGGGCTTTTGACTTTTTCACTTTATGTGAGTGGTGCAACTGGAATCTGCTGTGTTTCATCAAACAAATGGCTCCCAGCAAGTAGGCAGTTTAACTTGATTAACCCAAGATGAATGTTACAAGTCTTACAGATCACAGAGGATTATGGCTGGGGAGATAAACAGTGGCAGCCCTAGCTTGTTATGGATGTCAGTGAAAGTCTGTGCATGTGGGTCCTATCAGGAGCTGCTGTATATTGGGTATTTTTAATCTGTTTTTTGTTTTGCTGTTAATAATCAAGTCCCACACCATTTTTTTTTCTGCTTTTTGAAAGAAGGTGTCTGCCACAAGTCTTCTAAACCTTCATTACAGCAAAGATCCTGGCTGTATATAAGACATGTATATAAGATAGTCAAAAATATTCAGATTGGCTTGTCTTTGGATACGTGATTTGAGAAGGTTTGGATGAGTGAAATCAAATATATAGCATGTACATTGCTAATTTAGGTAATGGAAAATGGTAGTGGGTAGGGGCCTGTTTCATATGAAAGGGTAGAGACATCTGAAATATTATGTATGCTGTACTGCAGTAGATAAAGTGATATCTGGTTCATTATCTATATGAAAATTCATTTATATATATATATATATATAAATGAATTATATATATCTATTCTATATAAATATATATAAGTATTTCATTATATATATATAAATGTATATGTATGGGGTATTTCAGCCCACAGAACAGTGCAGTGCAGCTATCCCTGAGTTAGCTCCTTAAAGCTAACTATGTTCACTATGAAACCTTAGAAACCTTATCACAGAGTGAGAGAGAGGGGAGTTTGAAAGGTAAAATTTGTCAGAGGTGGGAATGCGGAGCAAAACAGTAAGGAAAACACCAAGCTCAAAGCAGGAGAGAATGTGGAAAATGAAGCTACCTTCAAAAACCCAGCAGTCTCTGGATTTCTAGCCAAGGAAAAACTTTCATATATTCTACTGAATTCTTGCTTATAATCCATCTAGTTCTCTAGAAGCACATTTTCTTAAATTTGCCTTTTATCTTGAATATGAAAGCTGTTTTCATCAAACATATTGTATCATGTTATTTCCACTGAGCATAGCAGCGTGGCAGTGCATTTCCTCTTTTCAAATTTTATTAGGTTGGAGTGGTGGAGCACTATCAAGTATCTCACAAATTCTTAAAAATTGCTTAGATGTTACACAAAGTAATTCTTAATATGGTTGTTGCAAAGCAATTCACTAGATTTTGTGCAGTTATTGTGGTGTTCTTACATTGATATGTACAAGTTGGCATTGTACATAAATCATAATCGGTTATCAGAAGATGATAGCATATTTTTCTGTAGAAAGTATTGGATACTGGAATGGATTCTTTCATTTTGGAAGGAGGGTTTATTTAGCTAGATTTGCTGTGTGAATTTTATCAAATAACACCACAGCGTGGGCAAGAAGAGTTCTATGGATCTCTGCTACACTAAAAACACCCTTGCTAAGTCTGTCCTGTCACAGAAATTGAAGAACAAAATACTCTTGAGGGTCCCTGAAAACAGAGGATTAAGAACATCACCCTGCACAGAAATCCACACTGCCACTGCTCATGCAGTCTGTATCTTTTAGGCAGAAAAGTGGAGAGCTCTAATTTGGGGATTGTTGGGAGGTGGGGACAAGAAGTAAGTTCAATTGAATATTTTCTTTCTAATTTGAGTAAAAGGGAGATCAAAACAAAACAAACAAGCAAAAAAAAAAAAAAGTTAAGCTTTTCTAAAAAATGTGATACTGTGTTACAGCCAGGTAGTAGGAAACTGATGACTGGTCCCAGCCTCCAATCCTTTTTCTGATTTTGTGATAATTTGTTTATCCTCTCTGCATTATTTAAAAACAACTATTTTTCCCTTATTACAGGTGACTCACTGGCACAGTCCATACTTCTTTGCCTATTTCCCTGCAGCCAGCTCCTTCCCAGCTCTTCTTGCAGACATGTTATGTGGTGGAATAGGATGTGTGGGCTTCTCTTGGGTAAGTTTATCAGGATATTATGATTTTAAGCATTTCAGTAACTATATTCAATGAAATCATTGATTAATAGCAGTGAAATCACAAGACTAGTTTTATTGGTAAGTTTCCTTGACTAATTGTTTTCACTTAGATGCTCTGAACGATTCCAGTAGTAAAAGGATATTCTCCTCTTATTCCTGAAAAATCAACAGCACTTAGAATTAGTAGTAGCAGTACAAGCTTACCAGTAACTCATTAAACAGTATGACTCTGTTGCCTGTCACTTGGTGGTGTTATTTAATGTGTCTTCGGGATGAATGGTAAACTATGTTTAAAAAAAAAAGCATTCATATCAGATGGGCTCTTCTCAGAAAGGGTTGGTACTGGATGTGGGGGGAAAAAAATCCAACAGTTAAGATGTAAATCCTAGCTTTGACATTTGTCAGTCACGGTTCTCTGTGAGGTCCAGTCTGACATTCCTAAATATGTATTAGGAACACGAAGCACAAAGTGGCCTTCAGGTCTCTAATTTAGTTGATGGAGTTTTCTCTATAGTCTAAAGACAGAGGGAGAAAGAGAGGGACTTGCTCTGGTGGATTCTATTTCTCTTCATGCCCTGATGAGGTTATTCCCTCTGTTCTGTATTTCAATGCAGGCTGCAAGTCCAGCATGCACAGAGCTGGAGACTGTCATGCTGGATTGGCTAGGGAAAATGATTAATTTGCCTGAAGAGTTTTTAGCTGGGAAAGATGGACAAGGTGGAGGAGTCATTCAGGTAAGAGCAGACATGAAAAAAGAACGTCACGTATGTGGTCCTTACAATTTTGTAAAACCTTCATACCAAAACACTAATAAATTAAAGATTATTTTTTTCTGCCACCTGGCTTCCTTTCAAGTTTTCTGAAAGGCTGATACACTGTGAGAATGATGATAGGTGAGTAGGAACATTCATGAAAGTAATGAACAAAACAAAGCTCTCAGATTCTCTTCTCCACGAAAAATTGATAGTGGCTCAATCTAACAGCACAATATGTGCTTAAAATTCAAATAATGATGTTGAAAAATCATGTAAGATTGAACTCTAATTTGTTTATAAGGTGAAGTGAACACTGGGAAGGTTAGTAGCAATGTGCAGTAATGTTTAATGTTTGAAAATAATTATAATAATAAGCAACAACAACAAAACCCTTCACAACTATAAATATACCTGAGGATTATGCAAAGACCACCATGAAAAGGAGTTACAAAGTCTTCCATCAAGTTCAAGTTAAACACATTTAAGTATTTGCTTCACTCAGGTTCCAAAACAGCCTTTCTTTTTTGAGAAAAGTGTCAAAGATTAAGCAATGGAGAAGAATATAGCAAAGAACCTACTATATTTAGAAATAACTTACTAAAAAAAAAAATCTATTTATCTTTTTCAAATAAGTTCATATGATTTTAAGAAGTTTTCCTTATATAATAAAGTGAAATATTAGAAAGTTAGAATAAAATGAAGATGCTTAAAATTTGAGCCTAAAGGGTTCTGTCATTAGATACTGCATTGTAGCCTGAAAATTGTATTATCTTAAAAAATAAAACAAATTTTGGAAAGCTGACTGCTTAATGAAAGCCTACAATGTCTGAACAGAGTATTTGTACAATAATGAATATATTCTCAGTGGACAAACTTGGATGTATAGTAAAACTATTGTATTTGTCTGCTATGGCTTGTTCCTCTAGTGCATGATGTTTCTACAAATGCACAGACTTTGGTCACTCTATTCATCTAATTAAAATAGATATTTTCTGTGGCAAGGGCTGAATTTTAAATAGTTTTTCTGTACTCCTTTGATAATCTCTGAAGTCTTGTGATTGGAGATGAGGGCACAATCTGTTTTATCCCGAGATAGGCTTCTAAAATACATCTGAACTTTATGCTAAAAGTGGGGGCTTCTTTCTTTGATCTCAGCTGCAACTGCCTACAGCATATTCCAATCAATTCTGCCTAACACCTTTCCAGGCAAGCATGAATTTAACTCAACTGCTGTAATTCTCCAAGGCAGACCTGCACCTACACCAATGTGTCTGCAGAGTAACTCTTTACTCATCGTGCTTCCACCGCTAGGACCTTTTTCATTACAGTTACAAGGGAGGGGGCTATGTTCAAGAAACCCAGCTTTCGTCATGCATCTCTGTTATTTATTTTGTACCAGTGAAAGCAAGCAATTATGCCTGATGATTATCAGGAGGAAATACTGTCCTTCCAGGCTGACAGTGCTGGATTGCCCATAATTTTCATCAGATACCAGTCAGTTTCAAGAATCGAAAGTGCGCTCTGTGTTCCTGCTTCTGATGAAGTCATTTGTGCTGCATATCTTCTTGTCTTGCTCTTGAAACAATAATGATATAAATAAGAAAGCATGAGGCAAGAGCAACATGAGCGTGTGAAAGTGCCAGTCACTCCCTTGGTAAATACCAAGTAATTATTGTAGTATTGGGTAAAATGGAGCCTGTGAAAATTAGCTCTTAATTACATCTGAAAGTCTATGTCAATATGAAGCACTTTGTTGTGAGCACGATGACACTTGAAAATGGCAGAAGATGAAAGAAAATTTCAGTTCAGAGCTCTGGTGGACATGAACATCAGCTCTTACTGATATTTTTTCCGCCTCTTGAGCCTGCTTGCCATGGCAACCTTTGTTTGCTTGCGGTAAAAGGAAAGGTATCATCATCCTTCACTTAATGCAGAATACAGCATTCAAGAGGAGACAAAAACAGCTTTTAAAAATGAGAAAGCAACTTTCTTCCTGAAGCTTGTCTGAACATAGCACACATATCCTGCTGTTCACTCTAGATAAACTGCTGAAAAGTGTACATACTTTGAATTTTAAAGAGTTTTCTTTAAACTGCAAAGAAAAAGTATTTTAAGAGTGAAACAAAATTAGACTCAGCCTATCTTTGGTCTGGCAAGAAACACTCCTGATTTATCTTTCTTGTCAGTAAGCCGAGGACTTCAAGAACCATGGGATTTTTTCCTCAAAATTATTTAGTGAAAGAATGGTGCCAAATGAATAAAATGACCTTACAAACCAGGTTTTGCAAACACTGTTATTCAAAACAGGTGACTAATGGAAACTGAGGCAGAGTAAAGAGGCATGCATCTATCAAGAGACACCCAAATGCATTTCCAGGTGCCTTTAAGTTATATTCCAGCTTTGCTATATGGAGGCAAGACTCAGCTGCACAGCAGGCCCTTTCCTGTTCAGCCTTGCTTCCATGTAATGAAATTCATACAAGAACTGTTGCATTCGCTGATTAGGCACCAGCCTGGATGAACAACAGCCAGGATGCCAGAACATCTTGTGGCACTCCTCAGAAGAATGAGACTGTGCTTGAGCCCACTCAGCCAGGCAGTCTGCAGAATGGTGGAGGCTTAAATTTCCAGGTCTCAAATTAATGCCTTCACCTTTTGAATTTCCTACTGCCATTTTCATGGATATATCTGTTCGCATTTCTTAAACATATATATTCCCTATATGTCTTGGAAAGACACTAACAGTTTTACAAGGCCTTTACATTTCCAAAAACAAAGAAAAAATATATAAAGCCATTTTCTATGCATATACTTGAAAGATTTTCAAGTGTCCCCTTAAATATGTGTTAAAATAACAGTAACAGTATTTTTTTCACATATATTAAATGCAGGGGTGCTAGAGTGACCTTTACTGTGAATAGCTTAGGTTTAGAAAGGTTGCTCTGCATGACTTGTCTGGTACAAGATGGAATTAGGCTAAAACGTGCACACAGGTTTCATGTTGCTCAACCTCATGCAGACATACAACTTTCCTGAAAAACTGTATGAACCCCACAAGAAGTTGCAGCAGTTTGCAAAAATGAGAAGTATTCTCATCTACTGAATCACTGGAAAGGGTATTTTGGGCAGTATAGTCTGATTAGGCAGGCCCATTATGATGGTCTTCTGGTAATGCAGGGTTCTTTGGGAGTTTGTTTACAGCTTGTGAGAAAACAAACCAAAATGTGCACATACCAAAACAAGCAAACAAATAAAAACCAAACAGCTTCTCAGCAAACAGATGGCATTCTTGACTAAAACATTCTTCATACCTCCTTGATACCTTGATCTTCAGAAAACTGGCCACCAAGGACCCAAGTTGTCATAATCTAGCTCACAGCTGTTTCTTATCTAATGGTGTGCTGAGCATGGCAGAAACAGTTTTGGTAACAAAGTCCTGATGAGAGAAATTTCTCATCAGGAAGCTTACACTATGTGAGATTCATCCCTCACTTTGTCAGCTAAACACTGAACACACAAGGCACCTTTAGAGGACTAGTCGCCTCATGCCAGGATTTGTCTAAATCAGAATTATTGCTTTCTGGATAAACCTTATCTCTCTCTGTACTAGGGCACGCTTAACAATTAGGCTATCTGAGATATCTAGCTTTTTAGATGGCTCAAGTAAGATAAAATCAGGTTTTGAAAGTTCTTCATTTGTAAGGTAGCATGGCAATGCATTTAATAAATGTCTAAGGGCTGTCATTTTTCCTGTTTACTCCATTCAATTACAGCTGGATTGAGGGCTTACTCAATGTTGAGATGTTGATGTGTAAAAGGCAGCTCTGTCTCTCATGAATAGCTCAGCTAACTTCAGTGTTAATTAGGAGAAAGTCTAAGTTCACTGGGATCATTTTCTTGTATGAAATCTAGAATCAGGCCCATCCTCAGGGAAGAAATAAGACTTCCTAAATAATTAATCATTTTTTTGTAATTAGTGTGTATACACAGGTCTTCAGTACAGGGAGGGTAGAATTTTGGTACAGAATAAGAAACATCACTTCAAAACCAGCTTGTTGACTGGGGATATTTATGAGACATTAAAAGAAGCAACTGTTTTCATTGCAGGGGTACGTGCTTGGCAGAGGAAGGCTGACGTGACAATTGCTCAACTTTGAAAGTACCTAAAAACTCTCTCTTGCATATGGACACCCAAAAGCATTGACATTTATGAACATGTGCTTACAAAATGTTTCTTGTAGCTTAAAAGAGCAGTTTAAAGCACGTTTCATCTGCCTGTTCTAGAGAAAAATAGACAAAATAACTCGTGGAAACTTGTATTCTCCCATGAAATTTGCATAACAGTTAATAAAAAATTCCCCATTTTTATTGCCACAGAGTATCCAATACAAATTTAAATTCTTTATATTTTGTTAGTCACAGTGCAATTCAGAAATACTGGGTGACTGTTCCTTTAATCTGTTTTTGATGAAGGGAAAGTATATAACTAACACTTGGAAAAACAGTCAGCTATATTGAATCACAGCTTTTTTGCTTTTTCTGTGCTTTTTCTCTTTTGACCACAGCAATTGACTTTCCCAGGGTAGCTCTAAATATCATATAAGCTACGCACATTGCCTGACAGAAATAAATGTTGTCAGTCAGATTCTAATTGAAGTTTTATGTGTGGAGATCAAGAGTAGCAGAAATAAACAGTTACTCTGCCATTGCTACCGGTCAATAGATGATCAATGTCTGATTCTTGAGAGTCTTTTTACATGCCTTTAAGCCTGTGAGTCCAGCTTTCTAGCACTGATTGCAAGGTTGGTGCCTAAACTGAACATGCATAGAACTTACAGAGAGCAGACAAAAAGAGGCATCAGGGAAGAAGAGACAAAAGTCAAACAGTTTCCTCCCTTGCTGTCATGCGTACTCTTAGGAAGCATGAAATTCCGCAATTTCTCATATGCAGTTTCTGTTACCAACTTCACAAATTCATACAAAAGAGAATGGTACTTTTATTTTGGAATGTCTTCCTTTTGAATTTTCCTTCAACTTGTTCCACAGGGAAGTGCAAGCGAGGCCACCCTGATTTCTCTGCTTGCTGCAAGAACAAAAACTATTAGGCGGGTGCAGTCAGAAAACCCTGAGCTAACAGAGGCAGAGATCATGGGCAGGCTAGTGGCCTATGCTTCTGATCAGGTGAGTACCTCTCAAAAACATGGACCTGGAAACATAATGTCTATACTTAAAACTTCAGCCATCTCAATAGTCAAATGAATTAATGTACAGTGTCTTTGGATAGGGGACTAATTGGTTTTGCTTGTTTAAATCTTATAGTACAGCATAAGCGGGCTGGAATGTATGTATGCTACCATAATACAAATAGTAACTATCTGGAAATCAGTGTCACGTAAGTATTGCATCTCTGAAAAAAAATCTCATTTGAAGTAAATAAAGATATTTGAGTAAGGTGTTAATTTCAGTTGTGGAGTAAGTCTAGACAAACTTTTCTCACATCTAGGCTTATGTGTCCATGTGTGCGCACATTATTTTCCTCTTATGTGAATACTTGAAAACACACAAACATACATTCTCCCCCATATGCATGCACGGGTGCAGGTGCATGCACACAGACAAGCCAACTGCATGAATATAAAGCAAATTTTTCATAGTACTTGAAGAAGCCCAAAATCTCCATGCATCAATCCAGCTGAGAAATCTTCTAAGAAAACAGAATATGTAATCCTTGATTTCTGTGAGTGCTATTTAGCAGACTGAATTAAGCTAAATTCTCAGCAGGCCAGGGCTGTGAGAGGCTTTTACTACTAATGAAAGCAAATTTTAGTCTTATGAGTTCTGCTGCTCCTACCTTTCTAAAACTCTAATCCTACTGAAGGGCCAAGCAGTGTTGCTTCTCTCAATAGCTGTGACATTTTCTTATCTAAATGTCAATGAGATAGAAGGAAAATTCTTAGCACTTGATGTTTAATTCAAAGTAATATCTGATTATATGAAATAAAATGACTGGGTTTTAGGTTTGCCTCGTTTTACTACTAAGTGTATGTTATAAAGCAGTGGAAAGCAATTAAAGAGTGCATTTTCACTTTGCTGGTGAGAAAAGGGACTACAGTTGTAAGGTGAGAGCCATCAGGACAAGAATATATGAGGAAAGATAACTGTTTTCAAATGACACAAAGGATTTTTGTGATTTTTGTTCTTTTTTTTTTTTTTTTTTTTTTGTCTGGAGTGCAAAGGTCTGTGTTCTGCAGATCACCAGTTCCAGGGCTCAAACTCTAACCCCGTAATGCACAAAGCCTGTTACTTGTTTTCATTTTTTTGCCCCATGTAAATGTCTGACCTGAAATGAGAACTGACAGGCCTCCATGCCTGCTGAAGGTCAGGGGATCTTATGTTTACCGAAGGATTTGCCTTAAGATATTGCTGATCTTTCAAAGCAGATTGTTGCAGAGCTCGCCAGTCCTTCTCCATTAAGAACAGACCTGCATGACTCATAGGCAGTAATCCACAAAAGAAAGTAAGCCTAAACCATGCTGTGGCAGAGAAAACCATGCACCAACAGAGCGAAACAGTGCAAGACTGCTTTAGGAAGGAGGCAAAGACCTGACCAGTAGGGAGGCCCAGAGCAGAAAGCTGAACTCAGATCTCGCATATCTTAGGAGATCATTTTAGCTTCCATTTATTTCAGGAAAGTCTCTTTCCCATTGAAATTGTTCTGCTTTGTATTAATGAGTACAGAGCAGGACTGGCAACAAAGCTTTCCCCAGTGACTACTTGAGGGTTTGGAGCTGAGAGAAGCACTGGGGCTGTGCTGGCTGAGGCACGTATTGTGAGAGCTGCTGAATGTGAGACCTCAGAGCTGGGAGGAGCATCCAGCTACCCCTGGCAGTGCTCACCCAAATGTTTGGGACCAGGACAGAAGTAAGGGTAGTCATTTGATGTTCTCAGATTTTCTCAGACCATTATCTTCATCAACTTTTGTTTTGTTTTGTTTCCTCTGGCTGCCTCAAGCAGCTGCCCACTCATTTCACCAGCTCCTGCTTGGTTCCTTGCTGTCCTTGAGGATGGTGGGAGATTCCTGAGTACTTTGCTGAGCACTGGGTCAGCAGCAGGTCCCTAAAGATCAGTAATCCAAAGGAATCTTGGTGTTTTTAACCTTAAAATTGTAAATGGCTATAGTTATCAAAGAGCTTTGTTACAATTTTGAAGACTTGAGGAAGCAATTCTCAGGTTCTGACTAGCTAAAAACCTCAGTGTATTGCTATAGCTTACTTATTTACGATTCTTACCTTGTACAATTTGGTTATAAAATACCTCTTTCCATTGTATACTTGAATGAAGTATTGTATTACTATGGTAAACACATTGTGTTCCACTTCAAAGGCAGGCTCCATGTGTCTAGACTTCCAAGTTTTCTCAAGCTGGTGCCTAATTAGTTGACCGAAGTAGTTTAACAAGAGGCACTATTGAGGTGCAAGTTAATAGTAAATCTACCCTTAAAATGTGTTCCATGGATATGTTGAAGTTGAAAGGCAGAAACTTTATCTTCATCTAGTCTTGTTCAACTTATGTTTTGGGTTAATCTTCTCCATGATTACATGCTAATTAGAACAGAATTAGTAAGTGCTCTTGTACGCACTAGCAAGAATCAACAAGGATAGCACAGACATTATGAATGAGAGCATTCAGGACATGACAAGATGAAGAATTTTTCAAATTATTGATGATTAATGAAATATCAGAAGGTGAAAGATAAGGTAGTTTTGTTTGTTTGATTGATTTTTTGGTTTAGCCATGCCTTAAAAGAATATTTTGTGGCTAAACATACCTTTTATTATCAATACATTATTATTGTATTGTGCTTCACATTTAAAAAAAATTCTTAGTAATTTATTTCTCTCTTATGAGTTGTTCTTTATGTTCTAAAAAAAAACGTTATTGTAGGAGAATCCAAATAAAATGGATTATATGCAAAATAAATTAGTGAGAATAATCCTTAGTTACCTAAAAAAATAAACGAATGATTGAACAGCAATTTATTTAGTAGGTAATCGAAAACAAATGGGTCATGCAAGACAATATCTCAGCCTATACTATATCATGTCACATATCTTTTTATGGTTTGGTAAAGCTGTATACCATAAAAATATGCTCTCGAGCAACTAAATTATTATCAGGCAGGATGATTATCTGCATAGTTTTTGGTTGATCTGGAGCCAAATCCTGAAGCTCATAATCAATTCTGCCTAATTGAAAGCAAGTTAATTAAAGCTCTCACTAAGGTTAATTGAATTCTTGTCTGAATGAGACCATGGCAATAGTTTTAAGAATACTTCAGAATTTCTGGTGGTGTATTTGTGTATGTGTGTGTATGAGTCTGTGTATATATATATATGTGCGCCCATCTGTCTGTGTGTCTATCTATATGAAAGAAAGAGAGACAGTCCTTAATAATATATGTTACATACCAGCAACAGTTCCAGGGTCTCAAGTGTTGCTTTACTTTAAATAAATGATTCTTTCTTTCAAATTCAAATGAACTTCTTACATTCCAATAAAAGGTGTCTGTCTTAAAACTTTCCCATTTCCTTGCAGGCTCATTCATCAGTGGAAAGGGCTGCATTAATCGGTGGTGTGAAGATTAAAAATGTTTCTTCAGATGATAAATTTACTGTTTGTGGTTCAGCCCTAAAGAAAGTTTTGGATGAAGACAAAGCTTCTGGTCTTATCCCATTCTTTGTGAGTACTGGATTTTCATTCATCAGTGGATTTATTCTCATAAACTGTTTTTGAGATGGGGAGATGATCTTATTCCTAACAGAGGGATTGATAGGCAGAATAGCCCATCAGTAGTTTCCATGAATGTTCTTCATACACATGAACTTTGCTAGAGTCATTTCAAATATTTGTACATTCATGAAAATAAATGTAATCTGGGGCATCCTTGAAATTTAAGAGGTACTTTGCAGGAGGAGCGACTCATTTGACCAGCTGGTTGCACTTGTGGGCAAAAATGATGTTTTAAAATGAGATGAAGTTATACTAGGCAGTTGAATAAATTCAGGTGAATTTTGTATTTGCATCTAATCCTGCAACATTATAATCTCCTGGCACTTGAGTTCCAAATCACCTTTTCTACAAAGGTACAGCTTGATTTTTCAGGTTCTAACTTACATGTAAAACAAATCAAGCAATATCTTTAAAGGATGGTATCTCAATTTAAGCAAAAAAAACTAACAAACAAAAAACCCACCACTTTCCCATCCTCACTACTTTAACAAAGAAAGGAACCTCCATAATGTATGCCAAATATCAACAAGATTAGACATTGTCAGACAGATATTTGTGAGTATGTGACTTATCTCTAACAAGTCAGCTATAGCAAATCTGGCTGTGGCGGTTTGAGGTGTCATCCATTGTTTTTATCTGTCTACTTTCCTTTTCAGAGATTCTTGCTTCCACAGTACTCCAGAAAAAGCAAATTGTTTGTATCTCAGTAGCTAAAGCTCATAATCCTGCAAGTTTTGACAGAGAACAGTTGTAGATTGCTTACAATTAGATAGTTTGGTTCTTCTATGATCAGTACCTGATTAAAAAGAATATTTGATTATTCATCAGATCAACTCCTTCTGTCAGGTCAGAACACCATCTCACAAATTTTATTTATTTATTTATTTATTTTTGGTGGAGTAACTAACTTTTTTTTTTTCCTTACATCAAAAATGTTTTGCTCATTTCCAAGCATTATTCCTCTACAAAACTTGGTATCTTGAAATAGACCATGATCTGGATGGACTTATAAGTGGGTGCAATATGCTAGCAATAATATGTTTTTACTGGCCTTCCATTAAAGAAAAGCTCCTTCAGAAATGTGATTTTTTAAACAGAGTCAAAAATATCTTTTTTTTTTTTTTTTTTTTTTTTTCTCTCCCCAGAAAAGCCATGTCTGACAACAATTGTTCTTTTCTTTCATGTGGTAACATTTTGAAAAGTGCTAATGTGACTTAGATTTCTATGAACTGTTTCAGAAAAAAAAAAAAAAAAAAGAAAATAGCAGATTAAGCTTGCTTACAGTCATGGATAAGTGCCAAATGGGACAAAGAAGCTTAAATTTCACAAAGCCTTTTGAATATGTAATCTTTTTACTCTTGTTATTACCCTTTAGTTTTATGTATTATGAGGATGAATAGAATGAAAAGTGTTTGTCATATGTGCAGTATGCTGCAAGTTTTGAGGCTGTTTAGAATTGGCAAGTCTTTGGGATAACCAAGCACATCCCATCATTTGCTTTGTAATATCAAAAGACTATGATTAAGAAACAAAGCATCTATAGTGCTGCTTACATGAAATTTCTTCTGCTCCTGTTGATGTGGAGATACACCATAAGGTGTGTTTTATTTCTCTGTTATGTTACACTAGCTCATAATATTTGATATAAGGTCCTGCTTGTTTATCTTTCTGTTAATTTTAAAGAATTCCAAGTACAGCATTATATCACATTTCCTCACATTAACAAGAAAGTTGATGTTTTCTCCTCATCTTCTGTCCATTAGCAAAAAATACAGCTTGTCCCCCATAAATATTCATTATTTATTAATCTTTCTATGTGTAGCAAGAGGAAATAAAAAATTCTGTTTTATGCATTCAGCAACACCTTTACAAAAGGTGATTCAAGTGTTGTTTTTTTCTTCCTCTGTTTGCTTAGCTGTGCAAAACAGGCTTTCAAAGGCAGCACAGGCTCAGTCTGTGTTAATATGGCCTGTGCCAGGTCTTCCATTTATTTGTATACATAAAACATGTCAGCTTAGATTAAACTAGATCTCATTATCCTTATGGTTGGCCTCTTAACTCAAAAGGTGTGTTAATTCTCTGTCATGCTGAGCAGCAGTCCATGCACTGTATTAATGCTCCCTTTTCTGGCTTGCAGATTTCAAAAGCCTTTCCATTTCTTTTGTTCTTGAGTAATTTGGTGCTATTTTATTTTGTTCTGGTGACAAAGATATGCACATTGCCAAGGAAACACCTTACGCCACTTTATTCCTTGTCTCCCTGTATTCACTGATCCTTCACTAAGGGGAGTGATTCAACATGAAAGCAAAAAGTTTAACAGAAGAAATTCTGCCTGAAGAGACTTGGAAGAGCAGAGAGAAAATTCCTAATGAAGAGATATTGGTTGCGTCCAAGCTGATGCACTCTTATCAGCAAAAGAAAAGTTTTGTAGGGAATTAAAGGGAAAATGCAAGCAAATTTTCGTGGTTTATATGCATGGTCCTGCTCTTAAATTCAGTGAACAAATGAGGAGTCATTATACTGAAGTTGCTTGCAGAGGTGAGTGGAGAATCAGAGGGTGCATTTGCTTGATGTGAAGGAGGTTCTGTCATTACAGCAAGCTGGTCATTACAAGTTTGCTTTTCACATACTTAAGATTTGGTAATCAGATTTTTTGTTGTTGTTTGTTTGTTTGTTTATTTGTAGGGAGAAATTATCTTTAAAAAGAACCTTAAGAACCTTTGATTTCTTATCCATCATCTTTTAGCACTAGGAATGTGTATATCGCTTTCTTGAGTGTAAATTGCTGCCAAACAATACACCCGGACCTCTACCTGTATTTCTTTTTCTTTTTTCTTTTATTTTTTTTTTAATTTCAGGCTTGTGTTATTATGTCTCTTTCAAAATACTTATGTGGAAATTGAACAGGGACATATTTTGATACCATTAAGCAGGCAGACCATGCAAGCAATACACTTAACCATGTCAAGTGCTGAGGAGCCTAACATGCCATGATTTACTGAGGAGCGATTTCCAAGTGTGGCTGATTCTCAGCCCCTCATCAGGCCACCAGTGAAGGGGGAGCATTAAAGCATGTGCTGAAGCCATGTTCATGTCATTAATTATAAACATTAACTAGAGGTTAAGCACGTGCTTAAATGCTTTTCTCCGTTGGGTCCTATGCTCCCAGATTAAGGTAGGCCTCCACATTGGATGAGTGTTGATTGGGGTACCCAAATGTGGAGACCACTAAGTTAGGCATTAGTGAATTCAGAAATAGGGCCCGCTGCATTCAAGCCTTGTGTGTAAGTGGTCTGTGGGCTTTATGCTGTCTATCATAAATCAACACTGATATATTGCAGCTGGCACATATATATAGTACAATACGCTTCAGCCAGCTCATCCAGTATCATGCTGCTGTAACGTGATCTCTTTGCTGCTGAACAAAGGCCCAGCACGAAATCTCTCCGATTCTAGCTGAAATGACTCGTCTGAATGATGATCTGCAGGATATTAAGAAAGAGGCTGTTTGTATCCAGACTCACTCGGGAAACAATAAATCAGAGTTAGACTGACAGAGGAGCCATCTTTTCAGAAGGACTTAGCACTTAGATCCTGACCACAGACTGCCATTTGGAAGAAGTATTCTTGAGACACATACACGCAGACAGGGCAATGTTTCTTAGCCCACAGTTTGCGAATCATTACTGTTTCATTAGGTATTGGCTGTGGCTTGGTGGACTATTGCAGTTTTCTTCAAGCCACAGACATTCCCATGAGCGCAAGCGGGCAAACAACTGAATAGGAGAAAATAAAAATAATAAGAGAACATGGAAAGTTCTGTCTCGTTTCAGTTAATTGCAAATGAAAAGCTCTGTGGTGAAACTATGCAGTATGTGTCCGCATCTTTTTAAAGAGCTGTGGGAGGTCTTAGGTTAAAATGATTGAGAGTCATTGCTCTCAGGCATCATAAAGATTCATGCATGTTCCCTGCCACAGCTCTTGATTTCAGGAAAGTAATATCTGGGATGACTGATGCACACGTTTTAGCTGCTTTGTATTTGCAACTGGGGCTGAGTCAAATTTGAAGTGTGCAGCCTGAAAGAGTCAAGGCCTGCAGGCTGTACTGAGCCATCAGTCCCATTTCTGCCGCGCAGCCTGTCCCCCACCCCTTGCACAAATGTGATTTTCGTGGTGTTACACAGGTCACAAATTAAGTTAGACTCATTGGTTAGTACTGAGGCAGGGCAGTGAGAGCCCTGACAAGAGCAAATGCTGTCATTTTAAGTGGGTTCTGAGAATTAAAACAAATAGCTTTGAGGCTTAGACACCTGCAGAGAGGACAAGAAAATTATTTTAGAAACTGAGGTATACTTTACAGAATAAGCCATTATTTAAATTACTAAGCATATTTTTGAACTCATATAATCTCTCATTGAAGCATATTCCTTATACTGATTAGAGGGAACATACTTTAGCTGCACTACAACCGTAATAACAATAATTTGTAACTCTCTGTTGTGAAATTGCCATGATTATTTTAATTGCTGGACTCAGCAGCAATTCACCCTAATCTTATCTGAAAGTCCACAACCTATTATTATAAAATATATGCATAAAAGCAGAGCTAATTCTATAGTGCACACTTTATTTTGGTATTTTTCCAATCTAATCAGTTAACCACTATTTTTTATGTGTTTTAAAAAAACCTGATTTTTCATTATGGTATTTCTTGTGACCCAATTTGTAGATCTGCAGTTCAGCCAAAGATGAAATAGAGACTTCGCGTGACTGTGGGAACATCTCGGGTAGAAAATAATGTGATAAATATATTTTATTTTACTTCATATGAGCATGTTCTACTAGGAAAAAAAGGGAGCAACTTTTTTTTTTTTTTTTTTTTTTTTTTAATATCCTGCACTTTCTTTAAGGCAACCTCCTTCAAAAGATGATTGAATGATTGAACTTCCAGAGAGCTCGTAAATGTACCTCAGGGCACTGTAACCAGTCTGTTCTTCTAGCGTCTCAGGAATATGGGAAGACCCAGTATAGATGAAGGTTAGATCATCTGGGGAGAAAAATGCATTAGCAGTAAAGTTTGTTATCTGCATATGCAATGTGCTTCTCATTTTCTGAACTGAATTTGTTTCAAACTCAGGTTCTTAGTAGACTCATACAGAAAAAATACTGAATTGTCCCTTTCTTATTTTAATAATCACTTTTCTCATAGCCGACATTTTTTATTAGTGCAATGAAATCTGGTTATGGTTATTGGTATTACTGTAATTATCAAATTGGGGGAACATGTGAGCTGCAAGGAATAAAATATTTTCAGGATTTTTTATGAATACATTTAAGCAGGTCTGCACAGTAGATAGGCAGTATATGACTTCCTCTAAGAGTGTACCTAAATTTATATGTATTGAATACGTTCAATTTAATAGAAAAAATCAGCTGCCTAGAAGAAGTTTAAATTAACTGTGTATGGCACAGTGTAGATGCAAATATGTTCAAAAGCATACTTGAAAAAGAGGTTTTACATCTCTAGTAACTGAGGATTTAATCAACTCAATATTATTGGTATGCATTATTTAAAATTTCTGTCTTTCTGAATATATAATTTCCTGGTCTTTTTACAGGATATTTATGTTAGTATGGAATTTTCTAGTAAATTTGAAAAATCTAGTTTAATGGGTATTAAACAACCATCTCTCACCTTGCACAAATCTGCTAAAAATCTGGAACATGCAAATGAAAATCCCATCAAATTTAACTGACTCTTTGTTTGAAAATCAGATTATTTTTCTAAGATGTCATTCTTTTCTAATACGCTGTTACTAGTTTGTTTCATTGAATGAAAGGAAAAAACAAGCAAACAAACAGCTTTGTGGGAAATATGAAAAAAATACATAAACGCTTTTAAAGTTCATGAGAAGTTGGTGTTAGGACTAGTTAGGGAACCCCCAAAAGGGAAAAGCAACTTTTATCCTGAAATGTGTACAGGACCTGTTTCAAGATATGACTGGAGATGACACTTAACAGTCTCCAGTATCCAATAGCTGGTAGAAGTGAAAATGTTAACAAAATCACTAGCTTCAAAGAGAGTGACAACTTTCAAGTGAGGATGTGCTTTTGATGGAACACATAAAAGGGTAAATATTGGCAGATATCAAGCAGACTGCTTAAGCAGAGCAGGAATGCTTTGTGTAGATGTGTATCACCTTTTAAAAAAGAAGGGAAAAGATTTTTTTCAGGAATCCTCCTGGAAAAGTTCACATATATTAGCATTTGTGTAATGGGAACTCCTAAAATGAAGGAGGTATCAGTGCCATTCAGAAGAGATACCACGTGAATGTCCAAGCTAGAAGAATAGAAAAGTATACAATGTCAAGCTGAATGTGGCATTGGGCTAAAACAGATCAGAGGATTTGGCAAACAACTTGCTATTGGCATAATAGCACTACATTATTTTTTCTCAGAAGAAGAGAGACAGCAAGCCAAAAGCCGGTGAGGCCACAGCAGGTAACCTAAAGCCATTATTTGCTACAGACGTGCTTACTCACGTAAGAGAACAGACCAAAAGGCCACCCAGTGCCCACGCTCCTGCCACCAGCTGCACCTCCCAGCTGAGGTGCATCAGAAAAATTTCCCCATCAGGAAATTTTTCCTGACGGTGTTATTTCTGCGACAAGGACAAGCAGTGAACCCAGAGGCCCTGTGTACCTGCCCATTATGGAGCTGCCAGCCAAAAATGCTCTGTGTGGAGTTTTAATGTATATTTGTATCTATATTTTGCTAAGACAGCATGTTTGTTTTCTGAAAGGTGTAGTGGATGGACAAGTATCATCTAGGTGTTCCTTTTTCTTCTTAAAGGATTTGTCATGAACTCACAGGGGGACCTGAATGTGCACAAAATAGAAAAGCTCTGCAAAATTAGTCTAGTTGTAGAAGGACAGGGAAAAACACTGAAAGCAAAAGATGGTACATCTGGTTTCTGGGTTATAATTCTGTCTAGATATTCCCAGTAAATCACCATAGCTTATTTTCACTTGATTATATTATATTCTCTCACTACTGTGAAACTTTCTTCATTATAATATGTAGCTTCTGCTTTTGGTCATGTAGCAGGAGACATTAAATGAGGACTTAACAGGATGAAGGACGCATGGTTCCAGATTTTTAGGATGAATCTGGGATAAAAGGCTTCTCTGAGGAAAAAACTTTGCAAACTTTATAGTAAACATATGCTACTGGTGAACAGGTCCCAGGCTGCAGATCCCCTGAGCATAAATCAGTTACAAGTATCTGTTATGGAGCTGTGTGACTCCTTAATTCAAAGAGAAACTTTTAATGATCCATTCTGTCAACAGGAATTCCAGCACTTTTGAGTTGCTCCAGTTCAGAGCTTCCCTATATAGCATAAACTGCAAATCATTTTGATGATAATTGCATATGTGGGACTGGTATGTGGGCAGGGGGGATGTAATCGGATGATCTTTCTGGTCCTTTCCAACCCAAACCGTTCTGTGATTCTGTGGTATTAGGCCACATGGTAAGCGTGTGGAAAACACAGAAAATATATAACATTAGCATTGATATAACACTATGGCTGATTCATCAGTCAGCTTTGCATTGATATTTATTTTATCCATTTGTCTCAATGGAAGCTCATGGAAGCTTTGTGAAAAAAAATCAATTCCCAAAAGTTCCATTGAAGGATAGATATTGGCTAAAATCAAATTATTTTGTCCTATAATATCTATTCTCCTTGTTTACTGTTGCCTTTACAGGCAGTTTTTCTTATTTAATAATTTTATTTGCTGCAACACTAACCAAGTTTTTTCTTTTTCTTTCTTTTTTTTTTTTTGGCTCTGCAGTTTTGTGCAACACTTGGAACCACACCTTGCTGCTCCTTTGACAGACTGTTAGAGCTGGGTCCTATTTGTAAGTCTTTGTCTGCTGCTACTTTCCAAAAGTGCAGATACCAGTTTAAGCCACGCTGAGTCATTTCCAGGGTACTGTGCAGTGTCAGTGACCGAATTCAATAAAGCTACTTAGAGATGAGACCTTCAGTTACAGTTTTCTTTCTAAAACGAGGTCAAGCAGTCTCAAACCATTAGGACTGCAGAGAACATTGCCTCAAGGTTTTTTGAGGGGCATTTTGGAATACTTTCAGTGAAAACATAATGTAAGTGCTTCAGTTTGTAACATTTTTCCTCAAGAGCCTCTGCCTGTTAAGAGCGTCCAGAGCAATGCAGATCATGGAAAAGCTGACCTCTAAACCTCCTCTGCACCAAAAGTTTTGTTTCTGCTTGGTTCTATTGACTACAAAAAGCAGGGAAATACTCACCAAAAATCCATGTGTGTTCTCCTGAGTCCTTCCTCCTTTTTCCCCCATTTCTTTCTTCTTGCAAGAAAACGTGTTAAGTAACAGGGCACTTAATACAGTGACTGAGTCATGGGCTCTTAAGTGTTTCTGACTTATGGTCTTCTGTTGAGGCAAGCTTTGGTCTGCCACAAGGCTTGGTCAGAAGCACACGTTTGCTAGCTGGTGAAAATGCAGTCAAAGTGCATCATATGTATTCCAATTTCAATATATATTCCACTACATTTAGAGCAGGCAATTTATAGCTATAAGCTATCAGAAGCAGCCTCACAGAAACAGGCCTAGATTTGATGTTTAGTTCATTTATTCAGGTAGAGCCTAATATACTTCAGATTTATGTGGTGGTGACTTGCTTTGTAAGGTTCCCTGCCCTCCAGCAGAAGTCCCAGAGACTTAGTGTTCTCCTAAGCCTCCTTTCTACAAAAGTTTTGTAGTATTCTGCCTAGCAGCTAGAAATTATTTTGCTGTTCAGATTATTCCTTTAGACCTGACCTAATAAAATAGTAACACTAGTACTCTTAGGGATAGTGTGTTTCACCAGCTGCTCCCAACGACTTCCTGCTTGTGCAGCAGAGGCCAGCAGAAGCATTACATGCTACTCACATCAAAAGACTTATGCTAGCATTTCTGTGTGTGTACTTCATGTTAATATACATGAGCAGAAGTACTATAAAATAACAGCAGTGTCTCAAACAAAATATATTCAAAAATAAATAATCAAATGAACTTCGAACATCTCTTCAAATAAGCCTACTTTATGTGGATTATAAGACTAATATCTTTTCAAGATATTACGCAAGAAGAAAATGTAGCTCACAAGAATGCAAATTTGTGCATGAACTTGGTGCCCAGGTGCAGGTCTGAATGGCTATATCTCTGTATGCAAAAAATATGCATCAGAATTGGTTGGTGACCAATATGAGGATGTTATGTGGGCTTCAGCCAACAATTCATAGACTAGAATTGTTACCATGTGAATTAATACAGATGATCAATAGCAGAGCATGAATATTTCATTGTAGAAAATACATGAGAGGCTCATATGCTAAAATATTTCTGCAGTGAGTAATCAAAATTAGTCCTTTCTTAACCTTTCAGTGCTTGCTCTTGGATAAGTCTTCCTCTCAGTCCTGAAAATAAATACTTTGCTTCACATAGTTCAAAAGTCTGTACCCACACATATCAGTATGTGAAAAAAAATATTTAGAAATATGTTTTGTTTATGATTCATGAGATAGAAGTAGGGAGCACAGCTAGAAGTCTAGCTCCTGTTGATGAAGTAGTGTTATTACCATAGAAATCAGTAACTACATCTCAAGACACATCTTTTAAAAGTGTATTTTGTAATAGTTCTTACATTAAAGTTATTTAATGTTTTATGTTAGTATTAATAAGAAAAATCTAAATATGTAGGGACCCTCTTGCTATAGCAGAACTAGGGAGGAAGAAGAGGAGTGTTTTATGTATACATCTTTATGTACTAATGGAAACCCAAATAGTAGCAATGTTTCATGTCTTAATTTTAAACTGGGAAAATACTAACATCAAAGAAAATCTCTCAGGCACTTGATTTCATGCAAATCAACAGGGCTTTGTAATCTGCTGTTTAATTTATTTTCTGTTTGATTCTTATTTTTCAGGTAATAAGGAAAATATCTGGATGCATATTGATGCAGCCTATGCTGGGAGTGCATTCATTTGTCCTGAATTCAGGCATCTTTTAAACGGAGTAGAGGTAAAGTGTTTCTTCTCTAGCAACCTGTTAACACCTTGCTGTTCTGTAGATTTTTATTTTTTTTTTTACATCCAATATTAATGGCGTTTCTAGAACCTCTGAGTATGCTTCTCTTCATCTTGCACTACAAACCTCTGTATATTCTATTACCTAACAAAGTTTATATAATTTTTACCTTTTTACCTTGCATTCTGGGACTATGCAAATTACCACAGCATGTAAAAGTTTGTCATTTGGCAAGGCTAACAGTTAATCAGCCAAGTACCTTACAAAATCATCCGGAAAAGGGGAGCTTTTTCCCAAATGTCCAAAAAGCTGTATTTGATTTGTAACACCCTAATTCATCAAAAAAAAAAAAAAGGAAACAAAAATAAAAAAAAAAATCCAACAAATTAATGAGCTCATTATGCCTGATTTTTGCTTACATCCTGAAAGTCATGTAGGATGCAGCCAGTAGCTGTATCTCAAACAGATGGGGTTTAATAACCAAGAGAACTAAATGAAATATTCCCCCAACAGCACTCGTGTTCCTTCTCCCTCCCCTTGCTGAGCTACTTGGCATTCAGTTGCTTAGATAAGGATACTTCAATTTCCTGCTGCTTCCCTCAGACAGTCAGATAAGTCCTTGTCTTCCACGTCAGTGGAGAAAATATTACTGTTTGGTAAAGCCAGAAGTTTAAACAGAGCACTGATAGGTAGGGACTAATAAAGAAGAGGAGGGAAACCCCCCTAGCAAATAAAGCATTTCTTTCTGTCCCTTTTTTTATCAGCAAATGAAGCTTGTTGTAATTTCCTGTAGGGGAATATATTTTAAATTATTGTTATTGGTTCCTAAGGAAATGAAACAACATCCCTTGTCTGGGCCAACATTTGTCATAAGAGTAAATATTTAACAACCACAAATAGGCTTCTTACCATGCATAATACAGGGAGATAGATAGATAGATAGATAGATAGATAATCTCTTATGAGAGTAATTGTTAATTTCTTACAAGTGATGGGGAAGGCTATGAGAAGTAAATGAGAAAGGAACAGTGCTACATGGAGTAGTCAGACCCTGGTGCTGCCAGGCCTCCATCTCTTCTTAAGGCTTATGGCCTCTGCCTTTGTTAACACAGCCTACAGAAGAAGTGTTTCCCACGTGATCTCAGTCTTAGTAGCTACCTGGGTTTCTTCTGATGCCATTTCTAAACATATGTAAAGTAAAACTGGCTTTTTCCATGATTTATGCAATCATGTATTGTGAATGCTTGTTCTGTGTTGGCTTTTCTTTTGACTTAGATGAAAAGATGACTTCCACTAAAAAAAAATGACCTGGCAGTTAAAAAAAATAAATAAATAAAATGAACATAGATAATTTCCTGATCATTTGTAATTTTATGGAGTAATGTGATACACAGATTCTGAACTAACTATATCATTTGCCTCTTTATGTGAATTTTGTGTGTATATGTTAATATTCTTGGAAATAGAAAGTGTAGTGAATTGGTTTGGAAATTGGGATATGAACCTCAGCAGCTACTGTTGAGGAAGCAGAATTTTTTTCGCTTATACTGAGATATACATTTTTGCATAAGATAGGTATCCAAAAGGTGTAATTGCTAGAAAATGATCAAAATTTTGAGAATACCAATAGTTCAGCTCCACACCTAACCTCAATTCCATCCACAAAATGAAATGAAGATTTAACTGCAATAGTTATTAAGTAAAGTGATATCAGTAGGAACATTATGTATAAAGCCCCAAGTCAGAAATGCACTCATCATTAAGGTGTATTCAGAAAATTTGACTAAGTTGCATCATTAACACATGGGTCCTTTTCTCTTTCATATTTTTTATTTATTTATCTATTCTCAGTTTGCAGATTCATTTAACTTTAATCCTCACAAGTGGCTCCTAGTGAATTTTGACTGCTCTGCTATGTGGTAAGTATTACAGAAAAAGGAAACTTTGCAAGAGACAAAAATCACATGTTAAATTAATCTGCCCTCCTAGCAGTGGACGTTTATTTACATTTCTCTATTGAAATGAGGAGTTCTGGATATCCTTAACTCTTGTAATTTACAACATTCTCTTTTACATTTAATCCAAGTTTAAAGTACAATTTAGAAATGAGCCTGAGTTCTGCATTGTGCTCTAGAGAGAGAGAAATCCCGGAAAGTTGGCAGATTCATACTTGGTCTATTTTGGGACCATTTAAAACAACAACAACAACAACAAAAAATTAAAAACCTCCCTTTAAGGATGTTAATGCAATGAACAACATGCTAAACAGAACTTTTTCTTCTTTTCCTTAACATTTCTTTATGTTTGAGTCTTGATTCTTTCAAAACCCTTTCTAAAAATGATTGAGATTTAGCTGATGAAAAACAGGTGATTTCAAAAAGGACTATTTATGCAATTTTTTACTGATTTTCAGTTTCTCCAGATGACAGCAGAGACTACATTTTGATATAAAAAGATGCCAAAGTAGAAACCAGTAGACATACTTTGAAACAAAGTGAATTAACCATAGCAGTAATAATAAGGTCCCATAATAGATGATCTTTTTGTGTCCCGAACTGAAATTTCCAGAACCTAATGCCTACCTGCATCACGACTAACGATACTTATTATCAAAACAGCAGATCAGTAAATGCAGACTATTTATCAAAATAAATGAAAACATCAATTTCATTTATAATTGAAGAAAATCTATGCAAAAATGAAAGAAGGAAAAAATGAAAGTTAAAAATGAAACTTTAAAATATCATCCAGATAAAACTAATTTCTTTCTGGAAGAAAAGAAGAAAAATGTATGACAGTGGTCACTCGATTGCTTTTGGTTAATCTTTGGCTCTTTTAAAGTCCTTCACGAAGTTGACTTTTGCACAAATACGTTTATTATTCAGATAATACATTACATTTTTGAATATGAGATTATTGTTGACATAGGAACTTCAAATACTCCAAGCTATAAAGATTTTATTCTTTTTCTTAAAGTAAATGCCTTAGGTTTCAATCCTGATTCATCAGTAATGGCAGCAATTAACCAGGACTCCACTTTATAAGTGCCTCATAACCGGCTGTCTCTCTCTGCATATGGAAGTAAAGAGAAGATGAACCTTTGCTTGTTTCTTCCAAATTTTTCACATCATTTAAAGATATTGTTATCAAAGTAGCAGCTCTCAGAAATTACAAAATTCACCATCATTCTCTTTAGTATTTACAGGACAGTCAGGAGCCAGAGTCTTGTCCATACCAGTTTCATTTCTCTTTAATTCTGCTTTCCGCTATAACCCTACGGAACAATATTAGAACTTTTAACCTGGCTTTTCCAGGTAAACAGCGTATATATAGTCACACTGTCTGTCACTTTATGTTCCCATCTCAGGAGGTTGCAGCTTCTTCCTATCAGATCTTAGACTTTTGACTTAAGAAAGCATACTTTTAAGTGTTTTTCACTTTTTTTTTTCCTTGATCTTTCTGGTAAAAACATCAAATAAAATTTATTTCTTTATAGATATGAAGATTCCATTGCAAGGAATCTCAAGAGACCTTGCAAAATGTCTCCTTACTCAAAGCTACACAACTATAGCCTACTATTAAGCCTTCACATTCACAAGCAAAGCATTTATGTATTGGTGTTATTTGCCTGATATGGAATGTGGTATATATTTAAAATTAAGCTCTTTGGCTCAAAGCCATATCCATCACCAAAAGAAGACCAGCTGGACTTCTTGAGGTCTACATCCAAAATTCACCTCTCTTATCAGATGTAATGCTGCCTGAAAAAGTGAAAACTTGTTTTAAATGTAATAAGGGATGAAGGAGCCTGGTAGGAAGTAAATGTGATGACTGTGTAGTCCTTTTAGGATCCATGTAGAGTATTAATCATAATTTTGTAATAATACAGAAAGAGTTCAATATACAGTGAACACCATTTCAGAATCAAATTAAACTGAGTTCCATTGACAGAAAGTCTTCTAAATCACCCAGGCTTGCTGGGTGATTTAGTAATTTCAGCACTTTCTCCATTAAATGCTCTCATTTCTTTTCCTTGGAAGTTGATTAAGAAAATCCATCCATTAAATACTGTAAGGTAATTATTTAACTACTCAGTGCAGTATGTAACACTGATGTCACTTGTGATTTGGAGGCAATTTGATTATAAACCTTTTGTAAAATATTCTGAAACTTTGTGATGTACAAAAAAATTTAGTTTCTTAAAAAAAAAAAAAAAAGGAATTTAATAAATTTAATATAAGCACTCTAAGAAGGGTATCCAAATTTTGTATTCCTTTAGTGACTCTGGCCTGTTTAACTGGCATTCTGCAGTGTTATAAAAGAAGAGTTGTCTTCTTTCAGAGAGAGAAAAAACATTCATGTTGCAAAAGTCTTAATATTTTTGCTTTTCTATTGCTCTTTATGGAGGTTAAGTGTTCACTTTTGGTTGAGGAGGTTGTACTTGTATTTTAAAGGAAGGTGCTTATAGGCGATGCTCTTCTGTACCTGGAAGCGAAATTTTCCTTTTGGCTTTTAATATGTAATAATCTCTGGTTATTTTATCTATTGAAATTGTTAACATCACTAAAAGGTGGAGAATAGAGTGAGGCTGCTAAAAGCTGCAGAGGTGCAAGCCAGATAGTTCCCTATCAGATAGTATGAGTACTTAAAATGTGATTTTTATGCCATTCAAACTAGATTTTAGCCTATTACCATACAAACATCAAACCTTTGAAAAATTCAAGTTTATAAATGATTTTTTTTTTTTTTGAAATATATGTTCAGGAACCTTCAGTCAACCTTGGATATTTGCAAAGGAAGTTAAGAATACCACTTCTATCCGTTATCAAACCACACAAGCACTTAGTGCAAAGAGGTTTTTTAAATACTTATGATAAAATCTAGACATTGTGTATAGAGGTGCAGCTCAACTGATTCATATATATTTATGTCAAGGCTTTGGATTTATTTTAGTAATCCTTTTAGATAGTTTTTTACGGTTGTCAGATTAAGACCTGAGAGGTCCCAAATGGAAAAGACACGATCTTTTAAAAAAACAGGAACATCTCAAAGATTACTAATGCTATATTAATAGCAATCCATACATCAACCCACACTTGATAGGATGCAAAATGACAGCATTTTAATAGCTTCTACCTGAACAGGTATTCCTGCAGAATTGTTATCTGTTTCATTGATTAGCACAGCATATTATAGGAGGAGGGATGAATCTCTCACAACACAACTGTGCTATTGCTTGTAATTTGGGTTAGCTGCCTATGGAATGAGCTACTGTGACATGAATATATCAAAGAAATCAAGCATATCAAAATGCAGTGGAACCTTTAGATGGAGAGGACCTTTAGAGGTTGTTTGCAGTATTTACCCTAAATAAAATGGCTTTTGGATAATAGTTTACTTCCTTTGTCCACAGGATGTTTCCAGGACACAAATTTATTTATTTATTTATTTTAATTGAGAGTATTATGAATGTCTTCTACTATTTTTTGTGTGCTTACTTATCTCCAGCTGGGTACTTTTGATACCTGAAGCCAAGTTAACCTTGGTACCCTCCTTGCAATTAAGTAGAGAAGCTCTTCGCTTTGGTTAAGATGTTTAATGTTTATGGTTTTATGTGCACTTTTCCATTAAAACATTAAGAAACATAAAAAGAAATGTACTCAGAAAATCATAAAAGGTTTTGATTTTTGTCTTTTGGAGTGTGCCCATGTTGACATAATTATTGCTTACTTTGTGAAATATTTATAGGCCTAATGAAATTACACAGTGGTTTTTCCTTTTTCGCTTTCTAATTTCTTCTTCTTCTGCCAATGTAAAACCCCACATCGGTAGAGGTGAGTCAGCCTGACACACTGAGTGTTGCCCACTGGTAACGTGTAGCTTGTTCCCTCTGAGAGGGACCCCTTGGCTTTTGAAACGTGGTCCAGTGACACCACCCACCAGCTGGCAAGAGGGAGGTACGCTTCCCAGCTCCACGTTGTGCTGCAGGATGTCTTTCAGCAGTTGTGTCTTGCATCTAGCTAGGCTGCCAGGAAGGCTGGTACGAGAGGGAAACCTGCTTCTGGGCAGGGTGGCCAGGCCCTGCGGGCGGCTGCCACTGCCGCTACCCATGGCACGGAGAGACGAGACGGCGGCCAGCACCCACAGAGCCCCAGCACTGCTGTGTGCCGTGCCTCGCAAGCCACAGCTCTTCCCACACGGCTTTGTACTGCAGTAATTTCAAGGCAACTTCTGTTGACTGCAAACATTAGCATTGCTTTAACTAGTCTCACATTCTGGTGTGATTGTCTATCACCATAAAAAGATCCTCTGCGTCTGTTTCTTATCTGTTTTTAAATATGCAGTCATGCTGCCCGTTCCTGCTGAGCCTTACACTTGCTTCTTGTAAGTACAGTACTGATATTGCTGTGAAAAAGCACTGAAAATGGCACAGGCTGTGCTCAGGAAATACGCCAGTTTAAACACATTTAATTTTCCTTTGCTTGCTTCTTGTGGAAATTTAATGCTTTAAATTTTAATCCTTAAATTTCTAATTTCTCTCTCTTTTTCTTTTTTTACTTTCTTTCATACAGGGTGAAAAAAAGATCAGATTTAATAGGTGCCTTTAAATTAGAACCTCTTTACCTGCAGCATCACCACCAGGAGTCTGGTAATTTTATAATTAAATAAGATTATCACTGTTTTATTTGCACACTGATACGTAATAATAATAATAAAAAAAGACTTAAGATGAAAACTGAAATTCTTAAAACTGACTAACTTGTTTAAGAGCCTATTTCCATATTCAAAATACTTTAGGAAGTTTATTGAAGTGCAAACATGTCTAGTGAGATTTTAGTTAGCTTAGAAAACAATTGAGGGAAAGTCATTTTATGAAGTGTTCACACAGCACAATATTTTCATATTGTGATTTCCCCACCTCCGTATTTAACACTGACTCTTTGTAGGATTGTCAGGGCAAGTCTTAATGACCTTTTTGTAGTCAAGTAAATATAATATTGGTTGCTATGTATCAAGTCCCTTAATCTGCATTCCCCAATATATATTTTACCAGAATGGTTTCAAAGTCTGATTTGGTTTTGGATTTTCTAAAGTCCTTGACCTTTTCTCTTCGCTATGCATGCAAGCTCTGATTCATATTTTCAAATATCCATGTCATGAGCAAACATTCCCTGAAACTGCAGAGACGGGGTGAGCTGTGTTTGGTATCCGTGCTCTATTTTGGGTGATAGCTATCTGGGTTGTTATCCTGTTGCACTCACGTTCTTAAATCGATTGCAGCAAGGAGGTAAGTGCAGGCTATCAGTCTTGTACTAAACGCTCACAAAAGTGTTTCCTAAAATGCTCTCAAAGAACTTCCAGATCCTGGGCCTAGTACAAAGCTCCTTAATGGATTAGTGTTGCTCCTTGCACATACCTAGTGAGTACAAAGTGGCATTTGCCATCCAGAAAGCTGGTTTTGCACATACAAGTCATAACCAAGTAACTGTGGAGACGGTCACAGCCGTGCAATGTCAACATGTGGTTCAAGTTCCTTCATAACTCTCTCATGAAGGTGTATCACCTCAAGGGTGCATGCCCTTATCATTTGCCATATCTCATGCTGTTCCTGGAATTGGTGATGCTGATTTGGGTTCATTGTGGTGTAACCTGGCCGGCAGCTAAGCACCTCGCTCACCTTCCCCCATCCCTCTCTGTGATGGAGGGAGAGAATCAGGAAAATTAAGCCTATGGGTTGTGATAGAAACAGTTTATTAAAACAGAAAAGAAAAGAAAAGAAAAAAAAAACATTAACGATAATAGTACTACTACTACTAATGTGTACAAACAAGTGATGCACAATGCAATTACTCACCACCTGCTGACCGATGCCCAGCCTAACCCTGAGCAGTCCGGCCCTCCTCCCCCTGGCTAGCCACCCCTATCTATTGTTCAGCATGAACCTAGATGGCATGGAATACCCCTTTGGCCAGTTTGGGTCAGCTGCTCTGGGTCTGTCCCCTCCCAGCTCCTGCTGCACCCCCAGACTGCCTGCTGGGAGGACAGAGCTGAAAAGTCCTTGGCTTGGTGTAAGCACTGCTCTGCAGCAATTAAAACATCAGTGTGGTATCAACATTATTCTCATCCTAAATCCCAAACACAGCACCCTACTAGCTACTGAGAGATAAATTAACTCTATCCTAGCTGAAACCAGTGTTTAAAAGCATATTCTGAGTATGCTTCTCTCTGTTGTGGCTATGAACTCCTTGGCATTTGAATTAATGTAATCCAGAATACCACCATTCACTAAAAAGCACTAGGAAAAAAATGATTCTTGTGCCTCAGCTACCAGAGGCTTCAGATTTTATTCTTTTTTCTACATTTCCAAGAAATGCAAATATAGAACAGGGCAGTAAACAAGAAAATATAGTATCTCTGAAGCTGAGGTTCACCCACCAAAAGCTAGAATTGTTAAGGAGAAAACAAACAAACAAACAAACAAAAAAAAAACACAACACTTTTTATTTTCCTTTTAAAATGAGAAATGAAAATTATTGCAAGTATGCTTAAATCACTATCTTTTAATTAATGTACGTGAAAAATATTTCTCTTGAGGAGAAAAAAGTCCAAAGTTAACTAAAGTGAAAATATATTCTTGTGACAAATGGCAGTGCTAACAGAAGAATGTTAGGACTTCCCGGGTTAAATGACACCAAAAGGAAATGAAACCTTTCTTAAAACCACATGATTTCACCGAGGCTACCTAGCTGTCCTGAAAACTTCATCTCCCCAGCTGGATACAAAGTTGTTCAGTCTTTGTGTTGCCTTCACTAGCCATGATGGCATGCAATTAGATCTGGACGTAATGATACCAAATGGATCAGCTGATTATTGGCAATGTAGTGAATATTTATTGTGTTCTATTCCCGTTTGCTGACAGTTTTCCAAAGAGCTGGACAACTTTTCAAATGCACATTCCTCTAGTTGAACTGTTCAATCCCATCCACACGTATGCCTTCAATAAAAATGGCCAGATTTGCAAAGGTGCTAGGCTCTTACAGTCACTCTTGATCCCTGAGTGCTTTACGGGATGACAGCACTCCTGGAAATAAGACTTGTCTAATGGAGGGTCTTATTTTCTGAGTAAGTCTCAGGTCTGAGAATTCCCATCGTGGTTTACAAGGCAAATGAAGTAGCATTTTTGAATTCACTCATCTCTCACTCAAGAATTTAAATGAGCGGAAAAATATATCTATCTGTGAGCAATTACTCTTAATAACCATATGGCAATTATGTGTGCCCCCAAGGGGAAAGTCTTTATTTTGTCATTAATTATAATTTTATGTGATTTGCATCATCGCTCCGGGAAGATTATCCTGGCTTGCCTGGCAACCCAGGATATAGGTCAAATCCTAATGGCAGCGTTAGAAGAATGCAGCTCTATACGCTATTGTTAATGCCACATATACTCCCACAATGCAATCCATCCTGGTTAAATACAGATGTAAGACTAAGGCTTGTAATCAAGGACTAATCATTGATTGCATTCTGCTTCACAGCTTGTGAAAGGCGTTGTTGTGGATCATTAGACACAGCCCCTTACAGGAGCGTAGGATTATTTATCTATCACCAGTTGCTTTCCTCTCTTTGCTACCAGCCTTGCAGCTATCAAATACAAATGGCTGTGGCAATGCAGAATGTGAATGTTATCAAATCACCTTGTTACTGAGACAAAACAACCATGTTCACTTCCTGATGTCCAGGAACAGGTTAATGATTGTTGCTTTTTTTTTTTTTTTTTTCTTTTTTTTTTTTCCCTAGAAAATAACCTGGGAACAGGTTAAAGAGCCAAATGGCTATATGTTTCAGGGAGGAAGGCTCATATGTTTTGGCTGCATGCATGTGAGAGTGTTGGCAAGAGAGTTTGTAGCACAGGAAATGGAGTCTTTAAACTCCCAGGAAGGCTGGGAATCAGAAAAATGATGTAGGCTGGTCAGTTCATGAGCTACAGTTCTGTTTAGTACCTGGTGACTCATAATGCCAAGAGCACTTAGCACTTTTCCGTGGAATTTAAGTGCATACTTCTTCATGAAGCTTATATTCCACTGCAGGATAAGAAAGCCAAGCAGATGCTTCCATACGTTCCTAAAGAAGTGCTTTGAGATTTTAGGTCGGTTTAATTTTTGTCACTGGTTTACTGCGAGTAATCCAGCTTTATGTTACAGCTTTCTTTACTGTGAAATCAGCCTAATTACCTGACTCAAAGAAAAGGTAGAGGCAACTTGACGCTGTGTGCTCATATAAAAGATATCAAATAATGCCCTCTGCTTGCCTCCCTGCACTGAACTGTTCTGTGGCTTGGTCAAACAGTGCAAGGGCTTTTCACCACATCAAATAAAAAGCCGTAACAATGCAGAACGTTATTCACCAAACAGGAAGAGTTCATTTCTGAGTCAAATTTTCCAGTCACTCATTAGGCATGCTTAAAAAACAGCAGCAAACACATGAATGGGTACAAAAGCTAGTTAGAAACACATTGTTTTGAGAAACGTCAGTTCATCAAGTGGTGGCATTTCGCAGCAGAGGATGAGCATTGAAATGAGTTCAGGGATTCTACAAAAAAAAGTTAATAAAAGCCATCTTACGTACTACTTTTTTTTTTTTTTCTTACAAGAGGAAAATAAATGTATTTAGTCTGTGATCACCCTGGGATCTGAAGTATAACAGAAAGGAAAATTATTTCTTCTAAAAATTGTTCTACAAGAAAATGTTTGTTAGTGGTACATCCTGGCTAGCTGAGGAGTGAAGCATACTTGCTGTTGACAATGGTGATGATGAAGTTTGTAGCAAACAGGCAGGATAGCTAAAACACAGCTTTTTCAGTAGCATTAGAATATGATTGTAGGTTTTGACTGTTATGATAAAGCAACGTGAACATTTTTTCTTTAACTTTCAGGCCTTGTAACAGATTACCGGGTAAGTACAACATCGATATAATCATTAATATTACTACTTCTATGCACTGATATTTCCAGGAATTTTATTTTCCATTACTTTCATAAACTTCAAACCCTTACCTTTCTTTCCGTGGTGGATGCTGCTTACTAAACTTTTAACGTTACTCAAGCTGAAACTTTAAACTCTGTTGATTTTGGGGAAAAAAATGTTTAAAGGCAGAATGAGTCTTGCATATGTAGTATTTTAATATGTAATTAACGTTAATATGTAATATCTTAAGATTTAAGCAGTAGAAAGAAATTTCCTAAATGTTGTTTTTCTTAAAATAGTGACTAATATATATTTTTAGAATGCATGTTTTATCTTTGGCAATATAAACATTTTTGTTTTGAAATGGAAAATGGGCCAATCATAATAGATGCTGGCCCCACAACTGTATACAAGCCAATGTATGATACTCATTTTTCCAAAACCTTTGAGGAAAATTTGGGTTGCAAAAAGACAATTTGATTTGCCTTGTGACCCTTCCATGCTGACACCAACCTTCTTTTCCACTTTTCGTTTGAAAAATTTGAGTATCAAGAGTCGTATCAGAGCATTAGTCCATGGCATCTAGGATCTGGAAATGTGTTATGCTTAAAAGTTGCTGCAGCACGTACAATTTCTGCAGTATCACTGCAAAGCTGACTTCTAACATGGGTGCCCTGCCTTCTCTCTGGCTTGCAGCACTGGCAGATCCCCCTGGGGAGGAGGTTCCGCTCCCTGAAGCTCTGGTTCGTGCTGAGGATGTACGGGGTCACGGGACTGCAGGAGCACATCCGCAAGGTAACACGGGTTTGCTTTCTTGGGTAGTCTGCGGTGGGATGGGAAGGGAAAATGAGCTTTATTTACCCCCATCCACTTCCCACTGCTTCTGCACACATCAGAAAGGAAAGGTGATGGCTTTCAGAAAGCTTGTGTTGATAGGAGTACTGCTTTTTGCCCCATCTCGTGTCATGATTTCATATCATGGCAGGATCTCAGCTGTCACCCATTTTGTATTAATCTTTAGAGAAGACAAGCGTAGGAATTTGGAATTTATACAACGCAGGACTGTAGGCCCCTCTCAAATTAAGCCAGAGCACATTATTATTATTTTATTATTATTATTATTTTTTTTCTGGGAGAAAAACCATGAAACATTCATTATCTCTTTATTTCCCTAATGCACATGGATTGATAGCATGTTTAGATTATGATTAATGTTGTTGGGCTACATTTATGATACCGTACCTTATTGTCCACCTACCCTTGAAGCGATAATTTCTGCTGTTTCTCTGTTTCCTGTTTAAAATACACATTTTTTTAAAAACGATGTGTACAATTTACAGTTTGTTAACATTGCTGTGAGTAAGTACTAAGTTTATTCTTAATGTAAAAAAGATGGGTTATTTAATCACTAAGAAACACACCTGGCAGCAGTCTAAATGATATATATATACTTCCTCTGTAGCAGTAAAATCAAATTCAAGCATGCCTTTCCTTTTTATGAAGTTTAGGGAAACTTATAATGAGGGGAGCTCCATGACTTCGCTCTAAATATTTACAAAAATATCCATTAGCTTAGACTCTGGTCTAGTATACCAAACCCTCTGCAGGCATGCATTCCTTTCTGTTGTGGTACTAAACAGACGAAGGCCTAAGAAGGGCTTCTTCTGCCCCTGTAAAACAGCTGCATGAATAAATCTCTTCCAGTTTGGAAAGGTTCTGGGATGGAGGAGGGTACCCTTTTTGCTTCTCATTTTTATCGTGAGGTTTTTTGACTGACTCTACGGGGACTTAGATTATATTTTTAGTTTTAGTAAGGCTCTCAGAAGCAAATTTTGAGAACAGTGGCAATCCTGATGCTTTATTATCCTTATGGCAATTTGATACACGCCCTTCCAATGAAAAGTTGATGCATGGTTTGTTACTGCTTTACTAGACTGCCATTACAGTGTCTAGTGTTTTGCTCTCTCAGGTTAGATTTCTGGAGACAACAGTTATTTCAGTATAATGCCAAGGTTTTAAATGGGGCTAAATCTCTCACTGGGAAAATAGAGGATTGGAAGCCCCATGTTGACGACATGGCTTTTTACCAGGCAGGTTTCCACAATGCAGTATTCACATTCGACAAGATGCTTTGCAGTCCTCTCATTCCCTGTCTCCCAAACATTTCCCTGGCTGTCTAGCCAAAAAGTGCTTGTCTGCCCATTATCATAGCTGTTTTTGTATTTTCTACGACAACACTGTTTGGTAAGGCAAAGCAAATCAATCCTTTCCTAAAGATACTGACTCTACAGTTGGAACCCTCCTTTATTCCCTTATTTGCAAAGATAATTTGGAAAACTAGATTTCCAAGGCCTTCTTGAATAGTGTGTTTTTTTAATAGTTCATTAAAGAGTTCCCCAGTACACAGAGGGAAAAAAGGTATGACCTTATGTTTATCATAAAGGTTGGAAAAGACCTCCAAGATCTGGTCCAACCACCACCCTACCACCAATGTCACCCACTAAACCATGTCCCCAAGCACCACGTCAAACCTTTCCTTGAACACCCCCAGGGACGGTGACTCCACCACCTCCCTGGGCAACCCGTTCCAGTGCCTGACTGATCTGTCAAACTGGAACCATTAAGTTAGTTCCTCCTCTTCAGCCCCCCTGGATAAGTACTGATCAAATTCAGTGGGCTTCAAACCAGTTTCAAAACTAGCAAACATTTCTATCTCTTTCAGTTCAAAGTTGTTTTTGTTTTTTCTTTCTTTTAGTAGTAACGTTTAGACAAAAGTTGTTTATTATGTTGCAACCTTTAAGGTCTGCATCAAAATGACCAGATAACCACCGCAGCTTGGTATTTGCTCCTGCCAAGACAGGCATTTAGGAACCAAAATATTCCTAGGAGATGAGAATGGGTGACTTTGATTTAGATATAGTAACTTTTTTGTTTGCCAGACCTTCAAGTTATGCATTTTCTTCCCACACAACATGTAATATTAACCTATTGCAAAGTATAGGTTTTAAAGCAGTGGTAAAGGGGAAGGTGGTCATCTCAGAAGGATGTGGGGAGAGAAAAATACAAATTTTGGAGGTAAGTCCCAAAGTTGTGGAGGAGATGTACAAAGAAGGCAAAAGCAGCAACAGTCCTCTGGACTGATTCCAAGAAGTCGGTATAAATGTGAACCCCCCAAAGCCCATTTGTAAATGGCAGATTTGTAAACTGCTTGGCCATGTATTACTCCTTTGTCCTTTTAAGTCATCGCAAAGAGCTCAGAAGTCATCTGAGAAATTTAGAGGTTAATGTTTTTGTAGGTAATCCCCAGGAACATTCTGAATCAGTTAAATCCTGTGGAGGTCCAGAAGAAATCAGTGTACCACATTCTCCCTTTCTCACAGACTAAAATGAATTCTATTAACAATTAACAGCTGAGATCAAGAAACTGGAACTGTACAGAACAGCAGGGCCAGAGATAGCACTGCAGCTGGGCAGTGGCATCGTCCGAGTGGCTGTTTAGAGGACACTTTTTGCAGCATCTTCATTCATTCTAGTGAGATGTGAGCTAAAGCATATACACATTGCACTCTGATGCTTCTGAGAAACTCCCTTGTATCAAAAACTGTTTTATTTCTGGAAGGAGTTGCCCTGCTATTTAATTCTCAATTTAAACATTTAAATGCAGGAGCCCATATCTGTCTATGTGCTTCTATTTATCTGTATATGCACACATATACATATATAAATAAAGATTTTTTTTTTAAATAAGGACCACATCTTACTGCCTCACGAGTTCACTGCTCCCATGAGTAAGACATTTCCCCTAATCCTGAATAATCACATTACTTAGATCCCCTTCTTTTTTGCCTTCTCACTGCAAAAGGGCAATGGTTATTTACCTGAGATAGAGGGACACAAAAATCCCTTGCCATGCCCACTCCCAGAGCAGGGGTACGGCTCTTTGAGTCGAGAGAGGCAGGTGTGATATCTAAAAGCCCTTTGACTTCACAGGGTTTGAACTTCCAGGCTTAATAACGTTTAACTTTATTGGATTTATTTATGCCTGGTTGCAACAGTCTTTGTAAAAGCAATTCAGGGTAATAGCTTACGGTTCAAAGGTGCAGGGGAAAGCAAAGCAAGTGAACCTTGGTGGTTCCTACTTTCTCTACTTCCCAGCCCTGCCTGTAAAAATCTAAAACCCTTGGTGCCCCCCAGTGGCTTTTCAAACTATTGCAACTTGATAAGGCTTGCTACGAAAAAAATGACTTGCATCCATACAGAATGCTTCCAGCATTTTCATCTGTGTTTTAGTGAATACGCTACATTTTTCCTTGCTTTTATTTCTTTCAAATTCCTGAAAAATCCTTTAGTGCAAAAAATTGGAAATACTTGCTATAGAAAGTGTACAGCAAGTGTCTGTGGTTTTCTTGTACAAACTCCTTGCAGTAAGCCAAATCTCAAATTTTTGCTTTATTATTTTCTCACCCAGGTAATTTCTGATTTAATTCTGTTGGTGATTACATTTCGTTGAGCAGCTGTGAAAATCTCTTGTCATTGAACACCTCACTGAAAATCATTTGTCTCATCAAACAGGATTTTTTTTTTTTATGGCCTTGACTTCCAAGACCTGGTGTATGCATTGTGAAACTTTGCTGAGCTGTGTAAAAGACATAACTTGTTTGGTGCTATGGAAATGAGGGCTGGAGGAGGTAGTAGAAGACTGTTACAACCTGCGTGCATATTTCACATAGGTTTCCCGTGCACTTATGCATACAAATGTGTGTAGGTATACACATACTTCTGGTCAAATTTCACAGTTTTAAGCCCATGCTATTTGTAGGAGCAGAATATTCAAATGCATTAGAAAGAAGTGGGCATTTTATTTTTCTTCTTTCTGACTCAAAGAGCTCTCAGTCTAATTTTAGAGGGAGGTGATAAATGAATGTCACAAACAGCAGAGAGGAAGTGGTAACGAGAGGAAGATTGGCTGGTTACAAAGAGTATGCCCCGTAGGAATGTCTTGAATCAATGTTCAATTCCATATAAACAATGTTTTCCTATTTTAGGAAATAAACAAACATCAGAAAGCTATGATTAAGATTGCAAAATGTGTTTGTTTTTTTTTCTTTCCTTTTTTTTTTTTTTTTCTCCCTGTAATTTTTGAATTTTTGTTCTGCTTTCTTCTTGCCTTTTGGAAGAAGTTCCTGTGAGATGAAATATTTCACATCTAACCTTGGCCCAAAGTGGTTTGTATTTATTGGTATCTTTCCTTGAACTTGTAAGAAAGCAAAGTGGAACAGAAGGAAAAGACATGGGGTCTGTTCATTTTAGTAAAATTGTTTGCAATCGTAAATACATAAAAGTGTTGATTATTTTTGATGTAGACTGGCTAGTGCATAAACTGTAATTTTAATAGCCAGTTGTCTTTTTCTAGCACTAGCGAGCACTAAATTGATGATAACCAGTAAAGGGGGACTGAGTAAAGGACTGCAGGTACCTGATGTGGATATGAGTTCTTTTTTTTCTAAGCACTTTTGTATTTATTTTCTGTCTGGGAGAAGGCAAAATGTGGTGTATGTATACAAACATCACTGACCGATGTTCCTCACAGGTTGTTAGTATGCCTGTTGGTATTTTTCTTATTTGATTTTGGAAGAGCATTGGTTTCCTATGCCTTGATATAATTGTTCTGGCTTTATATCCAATGTATTTTTTCCCTCGGTAACTTTTAAACAGGCTGGCTGAGGTATGCTGTCCATTTTCTTGATTTTACTGCCATCACTTTTCTTTTCAGCTGGTCCTGAGTGCCCAGGCCAGAAGAGTGAGCAAGTTATCCACCTCACAGTTACTCTCACGTTATGTCAACTATTCTAAGCAGCGTTATCCGTGTGTCTTGTTTTCCACTGGACATGTGATCATTTTCTCTGTATGAATCTGTGCATCTCCCCTCTTCCCCACTGTCTCCCTTCAGGCAGTCTCAACCAAAACTGAGAACGGTAGAAAACCTAAAGAAGAGTTATTGGCTATTAATATGGTATCATGAAAATTACAGAACTGTGCCAAAATGTTTCACTAAGAAACAGACCAGTACTGCCTAAGATAGACTGAGCAGCCAATATAGTAAGTGGTCAGTATGGTCTCTGAAAGTCATAAGCGGGCTGTAAGTTAACATAAACTGATGGCAACATGTGAATATTATCACATATCAGAGGAGGGAACTGAGAAAAGAGATTAAGGAGCAAATCTTTTCTGTTAATAAACCAAATTTATACAATAGAGATGCTATCTTTCTCTTCGCAGCACGTCAGGCTGTCACATCAGTTTGAACATTTAGTCCTTCAGGATGAAAGATTTGAGATCTGCGCTGAGGTTGTCTTGGGACTAGTCTGTTTTCGGCTGAAGGTAAGGCAGCTAAGGCTCTCTACTTCTTCTGTCATGTTTTATAGCAACACGATAACTTGCAGTAGAATATAGTCTCTGTAGTTAATATTCTTAATTATTTTTAAGGAGAGTAAGGGGAATTCATGTAGATCAAAGTGGATTAAAGAAAGACACTTAAGACAATTTTCTTTGAATTAAATCAAGTCCTTATGAGAAATTCAAGTATATTAGGGTATGGAGGAATATAGTCAAGGCAAACAAGTGGTCTTAGTCTAGCCAGAAATACAAAATGGCTGTAATACTCTATGCTTAATGGTCTTTGATTAAGATGGTTGTTTAAATATATTTCTCTAGACATCTATTAAAGCTGCATGTATGCATAGCAGATACTTCTTGTCAAGTTAATTTTATGCGTGTGTATATTTAATACACAACTTTTTATATATATACAATATCTATCATGGATGAAGATTAAAAAATATTTATTTATATATTTTTTAAAGAAAACGTTTTCATTTCTAGAATCCTACAGTTAGACTGGGCAAATTGGAGCAAGATATGAGAAGGAAAAGGTTGCGTGCTGGGATAGCATGGGCCAGCTTCCCAAATGCCCTTGGTACTGACCCCCACCACTTTATTTTTTCCTGGACATGACTCTTGCCCCTCTTTGCCTTTCATTACCCCAAATCTCTGTATATGCCAAGTTCATTGATGTGAACCTTGCCCAACAGAAACTAGAAAACTGACTCTGCTCTCACAATAAAAGAGCGGCAGTAGATGGGAAGGTTGACTCGTTTAATCAGACATTGAAAGAGATTAATGGCCTGTTTTAGGTAAGGAACTTATTAAATAAAGGATTTTGCAGCTAAAGCCTCTGTATAAGGCTGCATTGTGACCCAAAATCTGAAAACCAAGCAATAATGAAAATGGCACTAGTGTTTTCTAGTCCGCATGATACCTCACTGAGTTTTTGTTTTTTTTCTGAAGGCTCAGAAGAACATCTTGGCTCCTTCTGAGTAGCGTGGTATTGCTACGTTTCACAAATTCTTTACTCAGTCATTCAGTTGCACCATTCACTTGAGTTTGATGCAACTGTTTGAAGGACCTAATGAATCTTTAGCAGTACGTAATGGTAAATTAATCTGAAATTGGAAAGTTTGAATTTGTGGTGTTGAAAATAAAAGAAAAAAAAATGATCTGCTGCTAGGGAATCAGACAGATTATGCAACAGTGTTGTTCCAGTAAGTGAAAACATGAATATGTTTTCTTTCTTAATGAGAACTTTTAAGAGATTTTGAGGAATAGGTTCTGCTCTCAATAACAAGATGCTGGTTGTAGTCTGCTCTCTGACTTGGACAAGTAAACACCGGTTTTGCAGATCCAGAGATAGCTGTTACTCAGTGCTCTATGTTTAGTTTAAAGAAACAGAGTTTAGCAACACAGAATTGTCACTTTTGATCAGACCAGTGGTTCACCCACATCTGGTCGCCTGTCCCTGATGCTCCAGAGAAAGAAATCAGGTTCACAGGGAAAGGCGTTTACACAAGAAGAGATAAATACTGGATATCTAGCTCATAAACCTTTGGGCAAGTTGTAGAATAAAGGCGTTATTCTTCCGAAAACCAGTCTAGAAACAGCAGTGTTTTCATCACTATTTCCATCAATGTTTTTATTGCCTTCCCTGTCCAAAAACAAACAAACAAACAAAACCACAATAAAATAAAATAACACACACACAAAAACAAACAAACAAACAAACAAAGAACACCCCAAGCTAACAAGCTTTTAAATGAAGAGTTTTTTCCAGTTATTTTTGCAACTTTATTTCCTATTAAAATAATTCTTCAAAATCTTCTGGTGGTTTCTGTACTTGGTATTAAAACGCACTGTAGAAGCAGGGTACCTGTAACTTTTATGTAACTTACTGGGACAACCCCATGTTACAGTAGGACTGAAGGACAGGGGACTTGACCCTATAATGCTTTGAGCTGTAAAAATAGCAATACTTTTCCTTCTGTTGATTCTTGAGAAATCTTCTTTTTATTTTTTAGCTGTAACTTTTAATGTTTTTCCTTTCATGCTGTTGAGCAGATGGACTAATAGTCTATGACTTTCATATTATAACTGTTTCATCAAATGTCAGAGAAGGAATCCAAGTATCACGCCAAAGGGTTAATTTCTGGCCTCCCTGTCATGTCTGCAGATGAATAGAAGTCAAGCTAGTCATTTCTCCAAGGGGATGAGAATACGGGCTTATTAAAACTGACAGACTCCATCAGAGCTGGCTGCTGGCTTCTCAAAGCTCTGGGAGAGGATTTGTCACTGCTAACTGCAATTTGATGTGACACCTGAGTGTCAGAGCAGCCCCTAGGTGCAGCTGAGAGAGGAGAATAGAAGAAAGGCACACAAACCTTTCTCTTTCCTCCCCTTACCCCTGACAAGGGCATTAACATATTCTAACTGCTTGTGTTGCCCTAAAGGTAGTGCTGTGCATTTCATATTAACAATGAGGATCAACGTTTTACTGATGGATTACCTTCAGTAAGGCAGCAGTACATACATCATCCTCACCGGTGATGCTGGCTTGGGTTCATCTCTAACTGTAATGGGATCCAAAAGCATGGGAAGAAATCGTTTTGTCCGTAGTGCCAAGGGGAAACTGTGTCTCCCTTGTGCTTTGTTTTCTTTAGGAAAAGGCTAAGAAGGCACACCACAACTGGGTAGATTTGCGATAATGTCTTCTAATAAAGATATTTTCAAGGCCACTGCTGTACCAGAAGTGCTGCTGAGCATGTATTTGTCCACTTGTGGCTCTGGTGCTGCAGTGGTCAGTCAGGGAACAGCAGAAGTCCCAGCCTCTCTTGCAATGCCGTGTCACCGGCAGTGCAAATGGAAAGAGTAAAGGCCGTACAGTAGCTAGGATCCTTCCCCAAAGAGAAAAATCATAGCCCTCAGGATCAACGTGGCGTATTTTGTTATGTCAAGCAGGCCAGCGAATCTGAGGCCATCTATCAGGCTGCTGATATAAAAAATTAGACATACGGGTTCCTGTAATTAGGGTAACAAAGACTGCCAAAGATATGCTGTGAACACTTCATCCTGCATTGCTAAATCTGACAAAAGTCCCAAGACCCTCCCATGTTGTTTTCATTTCAAACAATTTACTGGTGTTTTTGAAAATCTAATGCCACCTTTTGTTTTATTCTTAAATGCTGATTGAGGTGAAGGAGGAAAACCATTAATGCAACATTAGCTGAACCTGTAAAAGAATCAGTACTCTTCTGTGTAGTCCTGTTTCTTTTAGGGTTGGTACTGAAACCATGCAGCTGCTCTAAAGGAAAGACACTCAGTATTTGAGTACAAGGAGGACTAAGTACACTAGAAGAAGATAAAATGCAATACTGAATGGATGTAGTGTCCCTCTGACTTCTTCCAAGTTATTTAGCATGTGTAACTTACTCAGAAGAATGGCTGCTCCCAGTGGGAGGGTCAGTTTGCCACATTCCTAAAATCCCCAAGAAAACACTGCAGGATTCAGTGGAGGACACTTGCTATAGAACTCACAGCAAATACCTTTTTAGGGTTTCACTAATAGTATGAACCAGATTTTGGTTCCTTGATTCTTTTTATGCCAGGGATACATTACCTTAACTATTACTTAACTGAGGGTAAGATTTCCATCTTCATATTCCAAAGCCTCTCTAACAGCAGCCATGCCTAAGTGAAGACTGGAAGATTTGTTTTACTAATGTTAGTACAGTTCATTGCAAAACTGCCTCCCACGTCTGTTTGATTAGATCTAAGAAAAGTGTAATGAAATGGTTGCAGTAATGAATGCTTTTATGTGAAGCTACATAGCTCATGACCTTAGGTCATGCAAAAGCAGTCAGCTATCACAAATGCCCCAGTGTGAACACCGCTTCTAAGCCACAGTTAATCCATAAATCTCTTTGTGGCTGAAAAACGATCTCTTGAGCCATGATCTTTTTTATAATCCTTTGATGGCAAAGCACTGAGAGATGAGAAAGCGGCCGCATGTTACTGGTGACACCTTGGCTCAGCAGCTTGGTGGGACTTACATATTCCAGGCTTGTTTCTGAAACTCATTGCTGTATCCACTGAATTATGATGATTTCAGGGCTCAAATGAACTAAATAAGGCGCTTCTCAAAAGCATAAACGAGGCCAAGAAGATTCACCTGGTGCCGTGCTACCTGCGAGAGAAGTTTGTGCTACGTTTTGCTGTTTGTTCCCGCACGGTGGAATCCACCCACGTCAAGTTTGCCTGGCAGCACATCTCACAGCTGGCGACCGACCTCCTGCAAACGTGGGAGCACGACGACCACCAGCAGTAACGATGGCAAAGCAGCTGTGGGGAGGAGGTAATTAGCTGGCTTTCTCTGTGTTGCCAAGCTTTATTTTAGGGGCAGGTGGGACAGTCGAATTATGAGGGAAAAAAAAAAACACAAAAACCTGTTGTTTCGTAGCCCAGCTGCCGAGCAAAACCCTTGCCAGCACTCTGTGTTGTAACCTTGGTGATTCGTTCTCTGCACTGTAATCTTATGCACCGCATTCTTGTCTTGCCTCTTTCAAGGCTGGATGTGGCCGTGGGGGCTCAAGCTGTCATTTCTTACCATTTCTTATCTGTTTGTTATCAAGAGCATTTATTGAACCAGGCAACTCAAAGGGAAGCGTTATTACTCCCTCTGTCGTCCTCAATAAACCCCTAGCACACCCACTCCATTCTCTGTAGATGAAACTGTGAGGGGTTATAACCAGATAATTTAACATTTTTGTGACTTCAGAAAAAATCCAGGTTGTGAGAAGCTTGGTAACCTGGTTAAAACACTGTTTGCATTCTATCTAAACAGGCAAGTGCAAAGGTAATGATTTGGTATTTTCGGTATGCAATATTTTTGTAACTCAAGTTGGGACTTCAAGACTTCTTTCATTACATAGCCAAATCAGGGGAAGCTGTGCATTAAATTGAATGCCCTTGTGGCAGGTTCTCTACTCTCTCCTTTAAAGTTTGCTTTTAAGACAGCGATTTCGTCAAACCTCAGCAAATATTTTATGCTGCTTATTGGTTTTCACTTGAATCATTCAGAATGAGGCCTCTTAAAAGCTCCTTCTTCAGTGTTTTGCCAAAATCCATGTGCTACCTGATATTCTGTATTTTTAACCAAGTTATTATAAGCAGTAACTACGTAAAATAAATAATCTGTAAGATAATGTCATGTGAAACAGAATGGTGATTTCTTTTTATGGTTGCCACTCTGCTTATTTCATTGTGTAATAATGAAATAAACAGCAAAAATTATTTGACAAAATATGCTCAGAAACGTGATTGCAGAACAGTTACTCAAATTAGTTAAAAAAACAAGATAAAAATACAATAAAAATAGAAATTTTAAGAACTAACCCCCCAAATATGCTGTGGTTCCCCCATCAGTATTTTTTTTTCCCCTTAACAGTTGAGTATGGAATAAACAATAATTAACCATTAGAAAAAGTCAGATAATGTATACTCAACAAACATCATCGATATATCCTCCAGTCAGTTGCAGGTAGGTACCGTGAAGAGGGGAAACAAAAGTCAGAAACAACATCTGACTTTAAAATTTTGAAAGCATATTTTCCAGACAGTTACGTCGGTGTAAATAAGAACAAAATAAATAAGTACTCCAAGAAAAACCTGTAGAATTAATTTCTACATTTGCACTTATTTTAATCTTTCCCTTTAACTTGTCATGCTAACTTCTAAAGCATCTTGAGAAACTTGCAAACTTGCTGAGTTTTCTTTCTCTGTCCCTTGCCAGCGTACTTCCCGCGTATGGGAAGCTGCATGTAGACCATGAAGCAGGTACTGGGAACAGCTGGTTTGGCATGCAGTCTGCTCCCTGCCACATTTTTTCTCTGCATGTTTTCATCCTGTAAGGATGAGCAGGAACAGCCCAAAGCTGCACCAGGGGAGGGTCAGACTGGGCACGAGGAAAAATGTCTTTACCATGAGGGTGATCAAACACTGGCACAGGCTTCCTAGAGAGGTGGTTGATGTCCCATGCCTGTCAGTGTTCAAGAGATGTTTGGACAATGCCCTCAATAGGATGATTTAACTTTTGGTTAGCCCTGAGGCAGCCAGGCGCTTGGACTTGATCTTTGTAGGTTCCTTCCAGCTGAACCATTCTAAGACCCATTGAATGACATTTCCTCATGGCCAGCACAATGCAGAAATCTGAATTTCATAGCTCTATTTTTATCTGAAATCTGGGGATGATTTGAATGTGTAATCAATGAAGGCCTTGTTAGCATTCAGTCTCTCATACCCTCTTTTCCCCATGTGATGATTCCTTTGCAGAGTTCTAGTGTTAAGTCATCTGAAAAAAAATAAATATCTGGGCTATGTAATCAACTCAAGAACAAAACTGTTAAAAGGAATATTTTTGAAAGGAGGACCTTGCTGCTATTTCTGTTCTGTAGCTTTGAAATATATTTGTAAGTGAAATGACTTTTGGTGGCAAACACTGTATGAATAGTTAATATGTGAGCCTGGATTTATTGTGCCTTGTGTTCAAAAGCTTATAGAGCCTGTGCCGATTAATACTGTTTGCTGTTAAAAATAATTACAAAGTCTCAGAAATGCACTTTAGTAGAATGTCCACATCTCAAAGAACACAGTGCAGCTCCTAGATGAGGGAAAAAAAAAGTAACTTTTCAGTAGTCATATGGATTTATTTTTTTTTAACTAGTGGAATGCTAGCACAATGCCTACTCTCTTAATAATGACAGATTATATTTTATTACTGATGGTGAAATACCGAAAAGATGTATTTATGAAAGGTATTGCTAATATGTTATACTCTGGACTGCACTGTAGCTCTGCAATTTCTAGTTTCCTCTCGGCGTTACATGTCATACTCTGTTCATGGCTGTTCGTCTCCGCTGTCAACCTGTGAGGACACCGTATTTGCTGAGGAGTGCTCCTGTTGTGATGTCTTACAGCTGTAGTCCAAGCCTTGAGATGTACACTTGAACTGCTCGGAGAGTGGAGCAAATGAGATATAAAATTGGAGAAACTTGAAGACCATGGTGGAAGGGCAGGCAGCTTAAATGATTATTGGTGGATTATGTCTAAGAGTATGTAGAGTCCATATGACCTAACTGGAAAAATAATGTTTAGTGTTTTTTTTATTATTACAATTTGTGAGCTGTACAGTTCCTCTAAAATCTCTATCCAAAGCATATTAAACTGACACAGAGATTTTATTAATGGCATTAATAAATGAAAAAAAAAAAAAAAAAAGACTGATGTCTATCTTTGCTGTTAACCAAACCTCCCGCATTTTATTCGTGCAGATATGCTGTAAAGGGTCCGTCCCCTCCCAGATCCCTTCAGCATATTGACTTTCACAGAATCACACAGAATCACAGAATTTCTGGGTTGGAAGAGACCTCAAGATCATCGAGTCCAACCTCTGACCTAACACTAACAGTCCACACTAAACCATATCCCTAAGCTCTACATCTAAACGTCTTTTAAAGACTTCCTTGCTCGTTCACTGAACGCACTGCTTTGCCGACAGGACATTTCCTCTCCACTAACGTGCTTTGGAACAATTTATTGCCTCAGCCAGGGCTGAGGCTCCCCATGCTGGGTCCCCCCTCACGGCCGGGTCCCTCCCCCTCAGCCGCGCCGCCCCCTCCAGCCCGCCCTTTCCTCGGAGCCTTCCCTCTCCCTCCCGGCTCTGCCTGACGACCGGCTGCGTCACCGGCGTCCCGCTATCCCATTGGCTGGCGGGGCGGAGCGCGCGCGGGCGCGCACAGGGGGCGGCTGGCGGCGGCCGGTGGGTGCGCGGCGCGCGGCGGGAGCCCCTCCCCTCCCCTATCCCCTGCGGCGCGCGCGTGGGGGGCCGTTGGTGGCCGTTGGTGGCCGTTGCGCCCCCTCAGCCGTGAGGGGGCCCCGCGGGCCAGGCAGGGCGGGGGCGGGCTGGGGCCGGTGCTGGGGCAAAGCCCCCGGCGCCGGAGGTGTAGGGAGGGAGCTGCCTCCTGGTTAGCTGGCAGGGGATAAGGGTGGGCGTAAAATCTCACGTGCACGCGTTTCAGAAGAAAAAAAAAAGGAAAAAAGTTAAAATTTGGAGCTAGCTGCCGAACTGTGCGCTTACTAGTTCCAAACGCGGCCTGTCAGAGGTGGGGGAGTGATTGCATCGTTGTGAAATGGCTGCTGATTGGGGGGGAGGGGGTGTTCTATGTTTTATGTGTTTATACTCTGAATTATGTGAACCACGGAGGTACTTCATGTGAGCGAATACGAACTTTTATGTTGCAGAAAGTGCTTTTAAGTCACCATGGAAAAGCCACGTGCACACTGAGAGCTTAGCATCTCGCCCAGCTCACCTGTTGCAGGTGGGCGCTGGTGGGAACTCGCACTCCACGCGGTAGCTGCAAGAGAGACTTTTCAGTGTACAGAAGCTGACGGTAATTTTTTTAAATTCCCATGTAAAGGCACTGAATTTAAAGGTAAAAGGTGTTTTGGCTTTCCTGCACTTGGGCTGAAACCCAACACAAAATAATTTATCTCCTTGGTAATTATGTGTGTGACCCCTCCTGCCATCACCAGGTCATGCTCTGTGTAGTGCTGCGCTCATGCAATCACTGGGCAAAGACTTTTTGAAAGTAAAAATGAGGCCGGCCCCTGTCCTTACCTTACCTGAGGTATCTCCGCAGTCTTGCACTTTGTGTGCTCTTACATGACTGCACTCAGATGCACTCTGCCGCTGATTCAAGAGAAGATTGCAGATTGACTCGTACTCTGTTTCTGGGATGCGTGAAGAAAGCATGGTCATGAACTCCACTTCAACAGCTTTTGTTTTATTTATTTTTTCCTTTTTTCTTTTTATTTTTTTTTCCTGGCTGGGAAATCCCAGTACCTACCGAGGTTAAAAAGTAGATATTAGAATTTGATGTGTTTCAGTCCTGTCATGTATTGAGCAAGTCTCTTATGGACAGATCAGGAGATCGGAATTACTGTGTGTTAGGCACTTTCTGTAAAGCCTCTTGGGGCGATAGTAGATGTCGCTAATTTTGCCGGTGCCTGTGTCTCTTCTGAAATTGTTGATTCCTGACATTACCAGAAATATTCTGCAGACCGCAGAGAAGAGACAGCTTTGGAAATGTGTCAAAAACATGAGCACGTCCTCTCAGAGCTAGCAAGATGTGCCTTCCTAAGCAAAGGTCATCTTTCGTGTTTCTTAAACTAAAACCTAGCTGAAGGAACTTAAATTTTGCTTTCTAAAACTGAAAAACAGTCATCACTATAAACACACAAGGCCTTAGTTTCTCGAAAATAAGGGAGGTTTTAGTACGGTCTAAATGGAATACGTAGTTTTGAACATGTGTTATGAATCTGTCAGTATCTAATTTGAAAGTTTACTAAATGCAAGCCTATTCATTCCATTCTTACCTCCCCTCGTTTTGCATATAGTTTTATTTAGTAACTTCATTGTTTCATTTTTTATTAGCATCACTGTAATAAATTTCATCTTTTTGACAATTACCTATAAACTGACCTCCTCTGCACTGTGCAGTATTCCGTCAAACAGGAGTGAAAGCATTGCTGATTTCATTTAACAAGGCCAATTTTTGTTTGGCCATCTGTTACCTTCCTTTGCAGTCTACTTACCTCCCCAGGAGACCTCTGAGTAGAAGCACTCTCTCTCTCGTGTCCCTTCTTCTTTTCTTTCCTTGAAGGAGAAAGAAGAAGAGTACCCCAGTTTTAGTGGCTTTTTTCCACAAAGCTGTTTGCCTTGTGAAAATGCTGAAGTGTGCAGACTAAGTGACTTACAAGTACTGCGCTATTTCCCTCAATTAAAATAATGCATGTGTTCGTTTATATGTCATTAGAGAAGAGAGAAGCAGCCCGTAAGTAGTTGTGAGATGCATTTTGTACCAACGGGTATTGTGTGTGTGTTTCAGTGTCAGCGATGGAAGCACCCACTCACAGCACCGTGCACCTGAGTGACTGGCAGAAAAGTTACTTCGCTCTTACCTCTGGCACCTGCACGCCCGCACAGAAGGCTGATGAATACCGTGCCAAAATTCTGCGTATTCAGTATGCATGGGCAAACTCCGAGATCTCTCAGGTCTGTGCTGCCAACCTCTTTAAAAAGTACGCAGAGAAATACTCTGCAATTATTGACTCTGACAACATAGAGACTGGCTTGAATAACTACGCTGAAAACATTTTGACTTTGGCAAAGTGTCAGCAAAATGACAGTGACAAGTGGCAATCTGCCTTGACAACAGATAATGTATTTGAATTAAAGTGTGTGCAGGAGAGGATGCAGGCTGGCAAAAATTTCCAAAGCGCTCAGATGGCACCGACAGATGCCTTTGTACCAGCCGGTAACGGGGTCAGTGCCTCTGCCACTCCGGGTCTTCCTAGACTCGGTGTCTTCAGCAGTGCTGCCGAGAGTGAACGCTGTGCTGGCTCATCAAAATGTGCGAGTCGGGGCCCGGATCTCCTTGAGCATCCCTCGTCTTCAAAGTCTCTTCAAAGCAGTCTGCCTCCTGTGACCAAAACTTCGGATATACCTCCTGCCTCTTCTGCGTCCCTAAAGGAACAGGTTCAGACAGGTTTCCAGGTAACTCCACTGTTTGGAAATAAAGAAATGACCAGCAGCAGTTCTCTGAAAATGTCAGGTGGCTGCCGTGACGGGCAGAATTTGTCTCTTTCCAGTCAGTCCGCTGTACATGCATGGTCTGGGAAAAGAAAAGCATTTTATGGTTTGGCTGATAAAGGCAGTGCTGCACCTTCTAGCCTTGCTCCATGCCAGCCTGCCGTTAGTACAGAAGCCAACAGTTTTTCAGGGAATAGGAACGGAAACGAGGAGAGCGCTGCTCCTGGTTTTAGAACGGCAAAAGAGCAGCTGTGGGTGGATCAGCAAAAGAAACCTCAGAGCCTCCACCAGCGTACACCAGCCTCGTCGTACGGAGGCATAAAAAAGTCTTTGGGTGCTGGTAGATCTCGGGGTCCGTTTGGCAAGTTCATTCCTCCAGTCCCAAAACAAGATGGGAGTGAAAACGGAGTAGCACAGTGTAAACCTCACGCACAAGGGCCAACAGATCTGTCAATTCCTGTAGATGAGCGCCTGAAGAACATCGAACCCAAAATGGTGGAGCTCATAATGCACGAGATCATGGACCACGGGCCCCCCGTCAACTGGGATGACATTGCTGGAGTCGAGTTTGCCAAGGCTACCATAAAAGAAATAGTGGTGTGGCCGATGCTGCGGCCAGACATCTTCACGGGCTTGCGTGGTCCGCCAAAAGGAATTCTTCTCTTTGGCCCCCCCGGGACGGGGAAGACGCTCATAGGCAAGTGCATCGCGTGCCAGTCCGGGGCTACGTTTTTTAGCATCAGCGCCTCTTCTCTGACTTCCAAGTGGGTGGGTGAAGGGGAAAAGATGGTCCGCGCGCTGTTTGCTGTGGCACGGTGTCAGCAGCCAGCGGTGATTTTCATTGATGAAATCGATTCTCTGTTGTCTCAGCGCGGGGATGGGGAGCACGAGTCTTCGAGAAGAATAAAAACCGAATTTCTGGTCCAGTTAGACGGGGCAACGACCTCCTCCGAAGATCGTATCCTGGTAGTTGGAGCAACGAATCGACCCCAAGAAATCGATGAAGCTGCCCGAAGGAGGCTGGTAAAGAGGCTGTACATTCCTCTTCCAGAAGCCTCCGCGAGGAAGCAGATTGTGACTCGCCTCATGTCAAAGGAGCACAGCTGCCTTAGCGAGGAGGAGATCGAGCTTATCGTTCAGAAATCACATGGGTTTTCGGGGGCAGACATGACACAGCTCTGCCGGGAAGCTTCTCTGGGCCCAATCCGCAGCCTTCAGTCCATGGATATCGCGACCATCCTGCCGGACCAAGTGCGGCCCATTGCCTTTGTTGACTTTGAGAGCGCCCTCAGGACCGTGCGGCCCAGCGTGTCCTCGAAGGATCTAGAGCTGTACGAAACCTGGAACCAGACCTTTGGCTGCGGTAGATAACTGCGTCGTGACTGCCTTGCAGTGCGTTAGCACTGTCACGTGTTAACGCCGTGACAATTCAGTGTGCCTGCACTGCTTCTTGTTTCCATCCGTCTCTGTAATAAATCTTCTGAAGTTACTGAAGTTACACAGCCAGACGTCTAGGTGCTGGCCTGAGGTTTAGCTAACTGGAAAGACAGAGAAACTGTGAGGGAATTACAGATAGCTGCTGTGAAGGGTGGATGAATTTCACTGATGTCCAAGGGGGAGATGGGCA